ATACGACCCAGATAAGCGCCCAAAGGCCTCATAAGTGGACGATTATAAGGGCTGAGGAGGGTTCTTACTGTAGGGAGGGGGTTTATAGGGGTTTGTAGGATTTTTTGGGGGGTTTAGATGGCTCACGCTGAGAGCCAGGCCACATTTAGGGGCTTTTTCAGGCTTTAGCAGCTGAGGGACCCGGTATGACGCGGTGTTACAAGCTCAAGGGATGTTTAGTGGGGCTTGGCTGGGGGCTGTTCTGCACCTCATCTTTCCGGCAAGAAGACACACCCCAAAACTCAAAGGGTTGAACTGATCTGTTTCCAGCCTTCGGCACCAGGCGCGGCCTGCCGAGGGGAGACCGGAAAACTCCCCAACCTTGTACTGGGACTAACAATTGTGAGACCAGCAATCCCCTCCCTCCCTCCCTCCCTCCCTCCCTCCCTCCCTCCCTTCGTGCCTTTCCGCAGGCCTCGCGGCCTGCCGCAAACCAAGAGCACAGCGAAACCACCCCCACAAGTGGAAACAGCACATGACATCATAATCATAATATTATTTTGACAACTACAGCATACGACAAAGCAAAGAAGTTCAACAAAAGCTCTTGAATCAGAAGCCCTTCCATGCCTCTGCGCTCTTCGTGCCAGCAGGCGGAAGTGCCGCCGGCGCGGACCTGTCGGTTGAGTCTTGGGAGTTCATAGTTTCAGGCTCGATAGAGTGACCAAACTCTTACCAACCTCATAAGCTCAGAACCATTTTCTTACCACTCACCTAGCGAGCGGATTGCTGTCAATCACCAGGACCCTTTAGGGTGCAAGGGCACCCCCAATTCGAAAAGAGGAGGGTTGAACCACCTGGAAACAGAGAGCAACCGTAAACACTAAAACTTAAACCGAATTGTAAGGCACGACAAGCAGCAAGGAAGCCCGCCTGCACTTGGGAGTAGGCAGGAGAATGCCTGAGCCGGGGACAGGGGACGGGCCTTGCAGGATTTGGTTTTGCACCACCGGGTGTTATCCTGCCACGTCCCGGACCACTTCTGTACAAATCTATGCAGAGTCCAAGCGTCCTCCTCGGTGCCCAGGTGGAGGGGAACAGGGAGTCGCCCCGGATTGTGAGCCTCGAGGCAGTAAAGGAACGTGCCTGAAAGGTTGGTGGACCATCTTATGTTGTATACGTAGATACAACCATAATTTCTACATGGATATACACATATACACATGATTTGTACATGTATACATGTATACATGTATACATACATACATACATACATACATACATACATACATACATCATGCATATGTATAAACATGTGCATTATGCTCCTACGATCCTACATGACATGTGCGGCGGCAAAGGCATCTCCGTCCCTTATCCAATATGCTGTGGTGGTACAAGTGATGGATAAGGCCTACATGTTCCGGGATGCTTCGTTCGGAGATTGCTGTTGGTCCGAAGGTTTCGACGCACGAATGATTTCGAGAACAATTCGCAAAGCTGAGCTCACCACCCACGACGACGGGCTTGGATACGGCCTGGGCACTGGGGGGTCGAACTTTCATGCACCTGCGACGAATGCATGCTCCGAAAGGCATGCTCCGAACCATCCCGACAATCTTCAAGTTGAAGCCTCTGTAAATCCTTACAACTTTCCAAAGCATTCCGCCTTGTGCTTCGGCGGGGCAACTGCTTCTTTTGCAGAAACCAGCTGCTTCAAGGCCTCCACCTCCTGGGAGCACGGAAGCTGACAAAAGTGCCCTTGAACCCGAGGTTCACAGGAAGCCTTATAGCTCCACATCAAAGCCCTGCCCCGCCCTCAGAAGCCTGCGGAGAGCACTTTCCGAGCGTCTTCATCACGAAGTTCTCTAGGAGCTTGGTGTTGGGGTCCTGGCGGCAACTGTACTCCGAAATGCCAGCCAAGTCCTTTGCTGCCGTGTCGAATTCGCACTGCCTTGGCTCTGCCGTCCTGCAGCTCAGGCTTGCTCTTGCTCACCAGGGGCGACGCGTCCAGGGAACTGAAGGCAGCACGAGGTTCGGGTTGCACGGCACGGGGGCTGTGACATGCTGATGGCTGTTGATTGATTTTTGGGGTGGCAGGGAGGGTGGGGGTACTTCGCGCTGGCTTCATGGCCACACGGGGCCTGTTGGCTTTCCCAGCGACCTTCACCAGCTGCTCAAGGTCAGGACTGATCTTGGCCTAGGGTGCTTTGAACCCTGATATCGATATACCTCACATTGCACATGTAGGGCTTCCAGCGGCCCCATATGTCGCAAACTCCACACTGACCCTCACCAAATCACCTGAAGGCTGCAACAAATAACCCCCGATCTTCGGACATGCTGCCTTTCTGTGCTTGCAGCAGCTGGCCACACTGAGCGCTACCAGAGCTGCCCTCGTGCGGTGCTCCTGCTTATGAAGCGGAGGCACGTAGAAAGCCATCAAATACTCTATAGGTGCCTTGAGAAATCTTCCGAACTCCGGGCGTTTTGGGGCAGATGCACATGTGTGGAGCGTTCTCTGAATTCTCTGTTGTAGAGCATGTACATATATATATATGTATATACGTATATATACATTGATCTAGGCACAACCCCTGCAATGGCTGCAGTTTCACATCCCCGGGTCCAGCGTGCGTCCGACGCCAAGTGCGGTGATGCCGTCGGCAGTCACTTCGTGCACGAAAATTCCTGACCACCTAGGCAAGAGGACTCCTCATCTAGTTATCTACAGTAACATTAATATCAGATAACATCGTCTAATTTGCAATACATCGGCCGTATTCGGCGGCTCGGTCTTGGGCACTGAACGCTAAAAAAGTCAGGCCGCTGTTGGGTGTATGCGCAGGATAGGACAATCGCCTCCAGGTTGAAGGGGGCTGTGCCGGAAACGTCACAAAGCTAAGCTGGTAGAAGAAGGAAACACCACATCTATTCCACAACATCGTGGCCACGCCTCACGTAGCCCATGCCAGCGGTGAACGTGGTCCTCATGGAACACCGCCTCCCAGTAGACCCGGCGTAGCTTAGGTTTCAGGCTTACTGCATACTTGGAAGGGGTAGCGCTAGCTATAATATTGCTGGGTTGATAGGAGTTCGTACAGTGCAGGTTCACACGTCAGCGCCCGCGGATTCTCAAACTATAGCTGATGCGGCACGCTGTCCACAAAAGGATCCGAAGCAAACCTACGAGAAGCGCTGCGTATCCATATATTTTCTACTGGTATATATGGACATGTATATATACATACAAATATATATATATATATATATATATATATATATATATATATATAAGCTTAGTTAAGGAAATCAGGCAAGAGAGGCTCAAAGCTAACAACCGAAGTGAGAACGGACGCGAACAGAAAACAGTAAACCTACGCGAAACTCTACGCGACGAGATGCGACGCCCAACGTTTGCGACTTCACGACGCTACGCTTGAGGAAACCTATGCAGAGCTTCCGCAAAGCTAAGAATCTACACGGACCAGGCCCGATGGGACATCCTTTGTTTTCGTCATTGACCAAAGGACGTAGACAGTCATCGTCGTAAAAGATACGAAACGAGTGCATGAAGCTCCTTAAGGGTTTAGGGCTTAAGGTTTCTTGTGGGACATGGCCCGGCCTCCCCAAACAGAGACCTGGCCCAGTTGCGAGCGTTGGCGAAGAAGGGCCTGACAAGCTTTCTGAGCTGCGCATGCCTGGGGCCCCCTTGATTCCACTCGCTTCCGTCCTTGCTGCCGCAAAGATGCTTCAACGGCTCCTCGTCGCAGTGCACGACGCCTTTGCGACCCGGTTCACTCCCACACGCCAGACCCCGCGGTTGCATGACGCACTGACCTCGCTGTCTGGCTGCAACCGTTCCTCAACATAAGGTTGTCCCTCACCCCCTGCAGCTCGGGTGCACAGTACGCTCTGAGGCGGCTGTGACCACCAGAAGACCTGTGTGGCATTGCGTGGTCATGTGCCCATCGCATGGGTCGCGCACTCTGCTCTGCCCACAGTTGTCAGAAACAGTAGTCTCCCCAGCCATGGCACGTAGTCCTCCCAACGTGGCTCAGAGCTTCCCTGGGTGCCTCGGGGCGGGGGCGGGGTTGGGTTGGGTACCATGAGGAATGGGGGGGAAGAGGCATTTTAACACCAAGGCCGACCCACACCCATCACAAGATATCGCAAGAAACCTGCCAGGTCAGAACCTTATGTAAGGATCCGCGATCACTATCAAATGCTCATACACTCATATCTTATCGACCCCAGACGCCTAGGCCTAACAGCCTTGCCCTACTTTGCTTCGAGTCGTCCAGGGGAGCCTCGGAAGGGTTCCGTTGTGGACAAGGCACAAACTCGGGAGTCTGTGGTGAGGTTGGCCGGCGAGCTGCCTGACATGCCTCTCAAAAAAGAACCGTGTCAACAGCTTCATTCTCGCGATGGGAAGCCCCGAATACATACTCCAAGGCAGGCGGGGAGATGTGGGCCCCGCAAAGCCGAGGTTAGTGGCGTGAAGGCGTTGGCTTCCGCAGAGATTCCGAAAGAACGGCTGATAACGACTGATTCAGACAGGGCCAAGACAGTGCAGAAAAGTCGAAACCAGCCCGAGCCCTTTTATTGTTGGTTTGCATTGTAGGCCGCGCTGCAAGCCACAAGGGCCTCTGTCTCTTCAAGCTCTTGGTCTGCAGAGAAGCTTCAGTTGTTGAAGTGCCGAGCCTTCCCTGAACAGGACCTTCAAAGAATGTCCAAGAAGGTCCTCGTGTGTTATCTGCACGCCTGTGTCATCGACCAGGTGCAGGGAAATATTGACAGCAGCGGCAGCAGCGGAGCTCTTTTTCTTCTTGCCAGAAGCGCCCTGCCAGAGGATTTGCACTGGTGCATCGCAGATCAAAAGAAGGGCGAGAGGACCATGGTTGTTACAGCAGCTGCTTTCGCAACAGGTTGCTTTGGGATCTTGTTGGCGTTTCGGTTTACTGCAAAGCTTGCCGCGCTCCCGGTCCTCGAGCGGCTCTGTTGGAGGAATTGGCAGTGCCGCCCAGCGGAGGTGGACGTCCTCCTTCCTGATTTGACGCAGCCATCACCAACCGAAAGCGATATTATGCGGAACCCCCCCCCCCCCCCAAAAAAAAAAAAAAAGGAAAGAAGGCACGGGGATCCTCGCACATCGCTTGCCGTGCTGAGGGCCCTCGCCTCGGAGGCATTTGGTGAAGAAATTAAAGACTGCATGGGCGGCACAGCAAGTTGACATGTCTAGGTAGAAAGTGGCGAGCGACACGTCAGGGATTCCCATTGGGCAAAAAGCGGGGGACACTTGAAGCAAAAAAAACAGGCCCTTGATGGTGGAAGGGACGATACATCCAGAAAGTATGGCTCTTGCACACCGCCTGTGATGTATGGGCATCACTCGGGAAGAAAGAGGGCGATGCACGTGGAGTCGCGCATGTGGCATGCAGGCCAAGGAGCCTCGAAGCCATGACTGGTGGCAATGTTTGCAGCAGAAGCCGCCAAATGCTGAGTCCTGCAAAATTCCGGGGCAGGGGTCTACGCCAAGAATCCAATCCCTTAAGCTGTTTCGAGGTTTCGAGCTTATGGCGGCTTAGGAAAGCGCCTCATGCACAGCGTAGGAACAATGGGCGCAGCGCCGGAGAGACCTGCCCTGGCCACGGGGATTCAGCTTCTTTTGCAAGCTTTCGTCTACGGCAGGCTTTAGGACTCACACCTTTCGGCTTTCTTCGCAGTTCAGGTTCGGGATACAGATGTCGGGGATGGAGGATGTACTGTGGTGCCTCAGTGCACATTGTGGCTAAATACTGTCATACTGAAGCACCCTCTGGCGACATGCCCTCACACCTACAGTTGCCTCGCCCTGTCTCTCCCGTGCGTCTACCTCCAGACCCTTTTGCCAGGCCTCTGAGTCCTGTAGGGCCAGGCAGCCGATCAGGAACTGCTCAAGTTGGTCGTCTGAAATGTCTTCAGGCTCTCCCACTCTTGAGTGCCAGAACTGGAAGGCCGAGTCAATGACAGCATTTGGATACACCTCCCTGAGGCGCAGCCTCACAAGGCTCCCTGCTGCATCGAGTGCTGGCATCAGGGAGAGCTCGGACCCAGCTTTTGCTTCGGGATTCCTTGCTGTGAGCATGCTACTTGCAGCTTCTTGGCTGAATCCATTTTGGGGGAAATGCCAGCCTGGAACATGCACTCTAGTACCGATTGAGCATGGCCTCAACACTTCGAGCGAGCATGCCTGCAAACGCTCTCTTGAGCCGGCGGCACACATGAAATTTAGGCAGAAGCCTTGTTTTTGTCAGTCTTGCAGGAGGCGGGAGTTGCCAGAGTTCACAAAGAGTACGACTTGAAGAAGGAGAAGAACGCTAGAAGCAGTAGCCGGACATCATGTGAAAGCCCATGTGTCCACCTGGTAAACAGAACATCATGCAACCAAGCCAATGCCAAGCGCTGCGGCCATTGAGGTTACGGTTTGCAGAAAAGAGAAGGTGTACAATGTCAAGGCTTTGGGGAACATCGAGGATCAGACAAGTGCTGAAACGCAGATTCAATGTATAGAATCGCGCATAGCCCGGGCAAGGCGTAGTGGCAAGTATGGTCAATATGCATATATAGAGTGAGAGAGAGACAGACAGACAGACAGACATCCAGCCAGACAGAGAGAGCGAGAGCGAGAGAGCGAGCCTATTGATGTCGTACTGTGCTTACGTTCATGTGAAAGGCTCTGCCAGACGTCGGTGTCTCTCAGCTTTCTCTTCTCCGTCCGCTGACGCATCGAGCAGCAGCCGCTCACTGGTGGCCGCTGCTGCTGCCAGGGTCAGGGATGCGCAGGGGAGCGAGGCACCCAACTCCTCCGAATAACTTGTCATGCCATCATGTTTATATAGACCTTTGGTTAACGGTTAACCAAACCCCAAAACACCCTACGTAAAACCCAAACCATGCCTCGGTCCTGGATCAAGGACTCAACCAAAGCTGCAGCTTGCGATGCTGTTTGGATCTGCTGGGCCTGACCAACGGGGCTTGTATGACTACCGCTCATGCAACCGCAGCCGTCTCAATCTCAAAAGTATTCTCCGGTTCCTTCATTTATAGGCATGGCGACTGCGGAGGGCGCGCTCGGAAAATTCTTACAGCTGCGCTCTGCTCGCAAGGAAAAAACTTGGCGCTCCACAAGGTCGTGAATCAACAGGTATGGCTTTCGATCCTTCGCTGTTTCTATGACCTGTCGCAGTGCCCTTCGCGACTGCTTCGGCAGCAGTTCGACCACCGTGGGGAATCAGGAGATTGGAGCTCAGGCACTTGTGCCAAAACATGAAGCTGGGAAACATAAAGGCCCGGCTGGAAAGTGGTCCCAAGCACAGGGGAAAAGCTGTTTCTACTCCATCAAATTTTGAACAGTTTTGGAAGTCAGAAGGAGTGCTGTCCTCTGCACGCACATAAACCTTGGCAAGCTTTCAAAAGGACCCCTAACTGAACAAACATCGCGAATCGATGTGTTTGCGGAACATCCATGGCATGCGATCCTGATCAGCTAGCTGGTAACACAGCGCGGAGCTTGACACCACAGAAGACGAGGGCCGCCGGCACCTCGCAAGACTCACTCTGCGAGGAGTCATGCATGTGGAGCTGTGTTGCTGATTCTCTGATTCAGTTTGTCTAGGTACGTGCTGGCGCGTGGAGTCGGAGGCCATCAGAAGGTTTTTCCCTCTGGTGCAGACACAGTTCCTTGCACCAAGAAACCCTGTAAACCCGACATCAGAACACATTGCAAAACCCTCCCTTTTCGCACCAGGGCTCTCTCTGAAATGCCAAACCCTAAGCCCAAAACTCCAACAACCCTTCGACTTGGCCCAGCGCAGCGCCAGCAAGGCCATGAGGGCCCAGCGGCAGAGGGCGGCCTCGTTGGCAGCCAATGACCCCAGGCCTGCCAGGGCGCCTGAAGATACCGCAGCGGCCACCTGGGACTATGTATATATATATATATATAGTTTCAGATTATAATTATATGTTGTTCTCTGAGTGATGTCTCGACCCGCCTGAGTCGTTCTTCCCTGCCTACGCATGATGAGGTCATCCAGCGTTCAAGGTGGTTTCGAGGCTCCCTGACCGCTCCTCGGCGCGCCGTGGCCTTCCCCGAGCAAGGTGGCGCATATGGCAAAGCAGTGCCATGCGGCCACAAGCCTCAGAAGCTCAGAGACAGTCAGTCCCGGCAAGACTAGGAACAGGCATCTTGGTACAGGAAGGAAACGCAGCTTTGTAGAAACAAGGACTGCTCGCCTCCGCATCGCCAGACTCCTCCGCTGCCACCGTGGCCGCAAGCAAATGCGCGCAAAACGCATGGATGCTGGGGCAAGTGCAGCCTGCATCGAGTGCCCCGCTGCTGCGCATGGAAAATGGATCAGGTGACTTATAACTTATATAAGAACCAAAAAACGAAAGCAAGCTCAAGAACATCTGAGTCGACGCAAGGTCCGGTTTAGCCCAGCGGCGGCAGCGCGCCAAGTCCACGGAGCGCGGCTCGTCGCAGCTCCTCGACGTGACAGTGGCCTCGCCAGGCCAAGGCCCCTGAAGAGAGACGCTCTGAGCGACCTTCGACAGTTGGCGGCCCTTGGCCCATGCCTTTCATCAACCGAGGGGCAGTACGTACATGCTCGATGCTCATGCCATGCGCATGCCCTCCCAAAACCCCCTTCCACCCAGAAAACTGTCGACTATGTCGGCTAATCATCCACACTTCCACATTGCCTGCATCATGCCGCGGTCGTCTTGCAAGCTTCTGGGCAGCAGCTTCTCCAGTCGAGGGCACTGCCAGCTCGCTGCTTCCGGGGACTTGCTAAGCTCCAGGTTCCTCAGGGGGATGTTCCATATTCATCATCCAAAAACTAAGCAAAAAATCTCTGACAAGAGGCACGCTCTCTTTCTCGTTGGGCTCCGAGGCCTGCGGCTCCGTCTCGGACCTGAAAGTATCGGGCAGTCTTGTGGCAACCATCCCACAGTCGCGACCAGAAAGAATGAGGACGATTCTTTCAGGCAAAAAGCTATGGAGCGAATTGAAATACTTCTACAGGCGCGCGGCTGCAGAAATACTGCTTCAACAACAACATTGTCATGCCTGCAACTTTCTGCGCCTGCGCGAAGTACGAGGGAGTCAAAGTTGGAAGAAACTTCCGGGAGTGAAGGTGCCAAGCCAAGAGGACCCTGAAGCCAACACGAGGCACGAGAGAACACGGCAACATGCACTAACGAGCCACCAGAAAGGAGACGAGTCGAAATTGTAACGCTTGATTGGAGACACACGCAGGGCGCAGCACCTATCCTCACCAAGGGTCACGTTCAGAATTCGGCAAAGGTTAAGAAGGTGCAATGCGGGTCCCTATGTCGTGCGCATTCAGCGCCAGGCTCTGATTGAGCGTCGGAGATGATCGGTTGCTCCGGGCGGACGTGGGGGGTCACCGACTCTTGCCCTTGCGGTGCAGTCTGGCTCCTTCAGGCAGTGGAAAGGTTGCTTGGAGCTCGCAAAGAACCCTCGGCAGCTCTGCGTTCCCCCCCGTCCCCCCCTCCGCCCCCGCCAAACAGCAAAACAAAAGAAGCACAACATGGCAAGACAAGAATGGGAACCTGGTAGCTTGAAGGTATATAGGTTTTGGGGGCTTAGGGTTGAGGACTATATACGTATACGAAATGTCGTACGTACATAGTATCAGTACATATGCCAGGCTGTTTTTGTGCGCAAATTGTTAAACATCCGGAGCCTGCGCTGCGAAGAGCCTTCCGGCGGCTGCGGGGTGGCAATGAGTCGGGCCTGCCGGCTGCAGCACGTGAGACTGACTGAGAGGCTGAGGATGCTGGGTGGTTTAGATGGTTTAGGGTTTCGGTGTCAAAGGGGCCTCGGCCCTAGCAACCTTGGCAGCGGAGGCAAGGATGGAAGACACCGACCGCCGCTTCATGGCCCATGAAAGCCTCTGCAGGCCATCCTATGCGGATGAATTCCCGACTTTAAGCTGTCCTATCCAGATTACAAAGAGCCGACTGGACACCCCCGTCTGCTCTTTGAGGGAGCTGCTGCGGAAAGGAAACCCTTCCTATTTGCAGTCTTGGGGGCTCAGGGGTAATAAGTCCCCCATGGGCCTGACAGTGTGATAGTTTTGTGATAGTGCAGGGCATCGCAAGGAGCCTTCTTTTCGAGCTGAGGCGGGAAGGGGGATAAGTCACGGCGCAGCCCTCTTACTGCCACTGCAGCGTCACGCCACGTGGAGTCGGCATGGAGCGCCACTAGGCCATGGAGCACAGCTCAGGACTAGGGACCGCCTTTGACACTACAAAGCTATTATAATGATTCCAGGCATTAGTCTAACGAATACAAGCATAAACACGAATAGTAACTAATGAGAATTAAGAAACATGATATAAAATCATACATACATCAGCTTAGCGTACAGTAGCGATCCCATGCTCATCGCTTGAACTTGGACTTCTTCCCACCGGAACGCTTGGCCTTCTTTGGGCCCTTGGCATCTGCCTTTTGTGGTTTCGCGGCTGCGCCCTCATCTTTGGATCCCTTTGGCTTGGCCTGCTTGGGATTCTCCGCTGTGGCGTTGCCTGCCATGCGCCTGACAGGACTGCAAGGGGCTCGGCCAGACAGGTGCATGGATGCCTTATACGGTATAACTTTTCATGGAGCTCCGACTGTATGCAACGTCGTTTCAATGTCAAGAGTTTCGATGTCTTATCGCGGCCAGCATATGCCATCATGGATCCATTCTGGTCTGCGTCTTCCAAGGATCATTCCCAGGTGCTCTTCATGATTAGAATGCCTAGAAAAGGGCGTATGCCACAGCAAGTATGCCTATGCCCTGCTGTAGCCCTAAGGGTCCTAAGGAAGAACACCTTCCAGAACTTTTTCACCAAACAATGTGAGTCGTTAGACCCCCGCGCAGCAATCAACGAACGTCACTCCCTGCTCGCGCCTGTTGGCCTTCTTGCGCTCTTTGGTTTTGGAGTAGCTTCCGAACATGGTGTTCATGCTCTTGTCAAACTCCGTGGCCATCTGCTTCAGCTCCTGTTTCTCAACCTCCATGAGCTGGCGCACTCGCTTCCTCTCTTGCTGTCCTGCTACACGTCGCTGCTCCTGCTTTCGGCTCTGCAGCTGTTGCACCACAGTTGCGTCTCTGGCCAGCTGCCGCGCAGCCGCGCGGCGCTCCTGGTTCAGCTTGCGCTGCAGCTGCTTGGTGGCCGAAGCCTCCATTCCTCGCTTCAGCGGACGGTCGCCTTCCTCGTGGAAGATCGGATCCAGCATCTTGATCTGAACGGCACCCGCATCGAACATCCGCAAGGGCTTGCAGCCCTGCAAAGCCAGGGACTTGGAGACGCTCTCCAAGCACTGCAGCGCAGTGCGGACCTTGTCACGGCCCTCCCCCACGATCCGCACCATTGCAGGCCGCAAGACCTTGCAAGCAACAAAAAAGCAAAAAGCAGAGCGCGAAATTTTGTTTCGGGAGGAGTTGGAAAGATTTTGTTTGGCGGGTTGGGGAGATATCATTTCGGTTTGCAGGATGCAGGAAACAGTTCCTGCTTTTTTTGCGGCTTCAGAAACGATCTTCCAACAAATGACTCTACATGACGCATGTAGCACATGCATGGCCCCCTGGTGCCTCTTGGAAGAGCACCGCCGCCGCGGCGGGAGCCTCAACACTGCCAGTCAGGCAAAGCAAATGCACTACTTCATCTATGGCAGGGCCCCCCCTCCCACCTGCCACACCCCCTTTTTTTCGCTCCAGCTGGCACCCTGCTTCGCAGCCAAACTCAGAACCATGCCAGACGCCTCAAACCAAATTCCCCAAACAAGAACCTTGACCCCTAAACCCTAAGAAAAACTCTGAACCCTCTTCTTGCACTTAAGCCCCGCCTGCTCTGCGGTTCGCTCCAGGCACCGGGCCAACAGTGCTGCCAGGTCCTCTGCGGCTGCAGCGGCTTGCCTTGAAAACGCTTCAGCACAGGCACTTGGGGTTGAGGGTTTTAAGGGTTTAGGGGTTTAAGGCTTAGACAAGGTACGAGCAGGTTCGTCTGTTTTCAATATTTAGGGGTTCAGGATTCGGGCTTGTGGATTCCTTATTTGCTGGTTGGTGGCTTCTAAGGGAGCTTGGGCCATATAAAAACGTGACTTATGAGGGTTCGTGGTTTTTGCCTGGACATATCGACATATCGACCAATAAGACAAGACTTCAGCGCGGAAAGGCTGAACAGAAGGAGAGTTGGGCGCTATCTGGGCAGGGCGGCTGTCGGCCCGAGGCCGCAGAGTTCGCCGAGGACTCCAGGAGTGCGGCGCCCAGCTGAAAGAAGGAGCTGCAGAACTTCCCGGAGGGGCTCAGCAGCTCGTAGAGGATGCAGAGCAACCTCTGGGTCAGGTTCCCCAGGGTGTTCTTGCTTATATGTCTAAAAATGGAAAAATATGTATATACATAAACATGTACATATATATATATATTAATGCTAATGTGGGCATCACATATCTGCGTGTGTGGCAGAGCCCCAGATTTTGCGACCCATGACTCTCACAAGGGTTTTGAAAACAGGAGCCTACCAAATGCAATGACTTTGGGCTTCTTCACGGGGGTGGGGGGGCCCTTAGTTCTTTACTCTGCCGCTTTGCCAAGGAGCATGGATCCTTCGGACACCAGGTCCTGGATGTCAGCACCCAAGCGAGCCAACTGGGACGCCCAGTGGTCCGCAAGCAGAGTAGCCTTTGGGGCCCACTGAAACACCCCAAAAAATGAGAATTGAGAAGCCCACGCACTAAGACTCTCTTTGAAGGTATTTGTGCATCATTACCTTTATTTCATCCCCAAGAAGCGGGGGTGACTACGGGGTGCTGGAAGTCGGTGACCGGAAACAGCAAAGGCACCAGCTTCAGGGCGGCCAGCTCACGGGCCTTGGGCGCCGAGCCGGGGCCCAGGGCCTGCAAGGGAGCTGGAGTATTCGATGGCATAACATATATACTATATCCGCCGACCCCCTTTGTCGGCGTCAAGAAGCTGGACTCTTACTTTTCTCGCTGGACCCGCAGTTACCTTTCCCCACGGCACTGCGCGGCCTGCCCCTTCCCTGCCCTAGTTGTTTTTGGAAGGCGGCCACGCGCCAACTGCGCGTTTTTTGCCTTCCCCCCCCCCCCAACCGCCGCAATTACCTCTCCCCACCCTTTTGAAGGCGTCCGGTGGGACCACACGTTTTGTGTTGGCTGCACCCTACCCCCCCCCCCCTCCTACCCTGCCTCTGTTGTTTTGGAAGGCGCACCCGCCTCCCCCCCCCTTTGTGGGAAAACTTAACTGTCGATCAACTCCCTGCCCCCTTGCCGGGCCCCCGCACAGAAGAACAGGAGAAGGACCAAAAATCAATTAGGATGCTTTTAAGCAAACCAACCCCGCGGATGCTCCTGAAGCGTTTGCGCGCGCACGCCCGCCCGCCGGCACTCACGCGCAAGAGAAAGAGAAAGAGAAAGAGCGAGAGAGGGAGAGAAAGAGAGAGAGAGAGAGAGAGAAGAGAGAGAGAGAGGGCGAGAGAGCGAGAGAGAAAGAGAGAGAGAGAGAGAGCGCGAGAGAGAGAGAGAGAGAGCGAGAGAGAGAGAGCGAGAGATTGTAACAGAGAAAGAGAGAAACAGAGAAAGATAAAAAGAGAGGAAGAGAGAAATAAACAAAGAGAGAAAGAGAGAAAGAAATAAAGAAGAGAGAAAGAGAGCAAGGTGAACGAAAAAGAGAGGAAGAGACAGAGAGAGCGACAGAGAGAAAGAGAAAGAGCAACAGAACGAGAAAGAACAAAGAAAGCTAAAGGTGCTCGAGAAAGAGAAAGGTGAACGGGAAGAGAAAACAGAGAGAGAGAGAGAGGGAGTGATAAAGAGAAACGAGACCGAGAAAGAGAAAGGAGACAGAGAAAGAGAAAGATAAAGAAGAGAGAGGAGAGACAGGAGAGAGACAGAGAAAAGAGAGAGAGGGGAGAGCAGACAGAGAAGAGGGAGAAGAGAGAGAGAGAGAGAAGCGAGAGGACATATAAGAAACAGAAAAGAGAGAAGAGCTTAGGGCTTAGGGTTTGTTTTAGGGTCTTAGGGTCTAGGGGCTTACGGTCTAGGGTTTGGGTTTGGGTCTTCGGGACAAATTCCCCCCCCCCCCCCCCCCACGCACAACCTGGATGCTAGGGCCCGGCCTGCGCCGCTAGGCCTAAAATGTACCTGTCTTGAAAGGAGCTACTTACTCGAGCAGCTAACAGCATATTACTCGGAATCTGGTTTCATTTGAAAAAGGTTTTAGATTGGAGTCCGCAACCTACCCGGAATTCAAAGCCCCGTGAACTTTTGCCACCTCCCAAATCAGCGTCAAAAGGGGCACTATTTCAACTAGACCGCTCTCGAGAGCTTGCAGCGGTGTTTAACAAACCCTTTGCTTGCACCCCTAAAACCTGGAAAAGTTAACTCCACAAGCAAAACCAGTTGCTTGCAGCAACTTCACATCAAACTTCAACAAAAACCACTGCTGCAACTGCTGAAGCTTACCGCAGCCCCAGACTCAGAGCTAACTTGAGATGTTCCCTTATTACGAACAGTCCTTAACAGGAAAAATAATTGGGGGGGTACTATCATCCCTATTAAGGACTGTTAGTATAAGGGGGAACATCCCGAGAGTTAACCGTGAACGCCTTTTGTTGCATCCAGTTCCGCTAATATAGACCCATACACCCCTAAAGTCACCTTCAAGAGCTCCAGAAAGTAGTCGGTCACTTCCCGGGGATGCTCAGCAGCCAGCTCAAGGATTGGGCGGCGCAGGGCGTGCACAATCCTTCGAGACGAAAATTCTGCAACATGGGGGTTTGGGGGGAGGCATTGGAGGTTTAGAGAAATTGTCATGTTCATGGTCTATGGCGGGGTGTAAAGTAGAAAAGGTTCCACTTCTATAGGGTTCACTTGGTTTTTCAAGGGTCATCATGCCCCGCGAGCTGATGTCGCCATCGCTCCGGGCGATAACGTTGATCGCGTAGTCCAGCAAGGCCAGAAGGAAGGCTTGGAGCTTCCCGCGATTCTCTGCGGACAAAGCCACCGCCGTGCGTGTTCGGACGCCTTCGCACATCAACATGCAAGACCTGCAAATGTTACGGATGACTACTGTGAATCGTGCAGCATACAATAGCAGACAGTATGTCAACCAAGGCACGCTGCACTAGCTTTAAGGCCGTCACAGGGCCACGGCCTTCCAAAAGCCGCTCCACTGATAAGCGATCCTGAGGACACTCGGGCGCGAAGGGCAAGCCCTCCTCGCCTTTTCCGTTCTTCATGAAGTTGCGATGGACCTTCTCCGCCTCCACATCCGTCATCAGCTTGATGCAGTCCTCCCCAAGCTTGTCATCTTCGTCCACCTCTCCAGCACCTCCTTCGCCGGTCTGGTCAGCCTCTTCGGCCTTCTCCTGGTCTTGGAGGCTCACCTGCAACTCCTCGTCCTGCTCCTTCACCTCTTCCTCCTCGCCCTCTTCCTCACCTTCCTCACCCTCTTCCTCAACGCCACCTTTGCTCTCAACCGCTAACTTTGGCAAATCCCCAGCGTCGCTGTCCTCGTCCGCATCCGCCACATCCTCAGCCAAGCCGTCTGCACGAGCCAAACGCCTCCGCTCGAGTGCTTCCAGCTTCTCGGCCTTCTCTCGAGCGATCTCTTGAGGGGTCTTGGTCCGCTCGGTGGCTACTGCCTTCTTGTCGAAGACGAACTCCTTTAACAGCTTGTCATAGCTGTCAGGCTCCACCCTATCTAGCGGTCGGGCGGCCTTTGGTGGATTGAAGCTTAGCTGGCTCATGATGTCCGAGAAGCCCTTGTCCAAATCGCTCCGCTGGCGTTCGTGCTCCTCCCGCTCGCGGGCAGCCTCCTCTTTTCTGGCGCGGCCCATGGCAACGACGTCGTCCATGTTGTCAGGGGCCTCCTCATCGCTGCCGACAGTACCCTGGCGCAGCTCAGAGTCCTCTAAGGACGACAGCGGACGGCCTCGGATCTTCAGATCTTCCTCCTGACCTAAGTTGAAGCTCCTCTTGGCCTCCCGCTGCCGCAGGCGCACCAGGCGCTGCACGCTGGTGCCTTTGCCCTCGTCGCCACCCAGCCGCGCGTCCCGGAACTTCGAGCTCCGGTTGGCAGTGAGCTTCTCCTCCGCAACAACCCCCCGGCCCCCAATCTTAAAAGTCATGTCATCTCAACAAGCATGGTAGAGTTGGCAGATACGGGCGAACGGGCACGGCCCCAATGGCACTTACTCTGAGCGCTCCTTCAGCAGGTGCTGCGTGCGGTCTGCAGTTGCCGAGGCCCGAGACCGCGCGATGTTGCGGCGCTCGCCTTTGACCCTCTCATTGAGGACGGCGTGTCGCCGGCGCTTATTCTGAAAGCCTTGGCGTGCCCACGATCTATACGCCCCCCCCTCGTCTGGCATGTGCTGAGCTGCTAGCGAAAGCTGACTAAGGGTTCTATCATAATTGCATGTTGTCATGGATCACAACGACATATAACCATTCTTTACTAGTTTTGACTAGGGTTCCCTGACTGCAAAATCACCGAGCCAAGCAGCTATCGTACGGGTTTGACTCGGACGGTGCAGCCTGAGCATCGGCCTTTCTTGCCACCTTCGGCTTTGGCTTTGGCTTGGTGCGGGCCATGGCACAAAAAAAACACGCAATTCAGGTCGGAGCCATAGTTGCTTGCTTTGTGCTGTGGCCATGTCCATGAGCAGTGTCTCAGGCCATGAACACTGGAGAGGTTTTGTCTTTGCCTGATTCTGGCTTCACTCTTGAGCAAAGCCTCGAAGCTGCAACAGCACCAAGCATCCACACGTGCAGTGCTACTCCCAGCACCAAATCTCCAGTACGCGCAAATGGTCTCCGGATTGTGGGGCTCCAGACATTTTTCCTCACAGCCTCAATAATCCATGCCGCAAAAGCCGCCCAGCTCCTTGAACCTGATATGAGAAGCTAGCGTGTTTGTTGCCAGTGTGCCCACTACGCGAACTCACCTATCTGCACTCACCAATAGCAGACAATTAACCCCTGCCTGCACATATCCTTGAAGTTGCCTGAAGAAGCGACATGAAAGTCGACAACCCATTGGGAACTACTTGAGCCAGGAAGCACGATCTTGCGCATGAGCGGCGAGTTCTTGATCGTCATATGGTCAGTGTCCACCTGGGGAGCATCTCATGGGATATGGGCGAATAACGGTGCCCTATCTTGGTTCATAGAAAAATGCAACGTCTCAACCGAGCGCAGACTTTGGGCCTCGTGGTAGTGGAAGTCCTCTGTGGTCCAAGGCTCCCACTGCTTGAAAGCATCACGGTCCCAGTTGCATCCAGAATCTGGGTTGGAGCCCGTGATCCCTTTGCCTGGCGACAAGCAAGGTCTCAGAGAGATGGCGCAAGGAGTTCTGCACAGTAGCCTTTCATGATAGGAACTATAGCCCCAGCCGAAAAAGTTTGTGCCCTTTTTCTCAGGGATTTTGGGAGATACCCGGGGTCTATGGGTCGAGAGCTTCAAGATAGCAGGGCGACGGCGCTCCCAGTACTCACGCTGGGGCCCTTCCAGCTTTGCGAAGTGAAGGTCGGCGTCCTCGCCGGCAAAATGCCATGGGGTCTGAGGGCTCTCAAGCTTGAGGAAGAAACTATGCTACTCGACTCATGTGGCTGGGGTTCTCAGAATGGTGACAAGGTCAACGCTCGGCTGCATTGGAAGACCTTTTGCGACGCCTAGCTGCACTAGCCTTCAAGTCCAAGGGGCCACCGAGTGCTGGGCCACCAGCACATGCAAGTCACAGTCGAACTTGTGATACCTTGTGGCAAGCATAGCACCAGCCTTTCTATAACTTCGTGAACAGATTCGACATGTGAGCTACGAAGCGGCTGATGACATCCCGTGCCCATCTTCCTCGCAGCTGCAGAGCTTGGTCGCCACGTGCAACCGTCCGCCTTGCATGCTCTTCAAACAGCCGTAGTCCACGAGACCACTTCCTCAGATTCCCGAGTGCCTGCGACCCAACAGTTCGAGATTTTCTAGGGGATCGCTCCACCGCAGCTCTCGATGCCCATTCCTCCCAGCCTGTAGCCCTGAAGGCCCGCACACTGTCTCTCTTCCTTCCTTCCTCCCGAAATTGTGAGCACATGGCCAAGCGCCCGGTTTTCTTTCCGGATTTGTCGGAGCAGTGTTCCTTTTTGTGCTTCTCTTTTGTTCTGCTACCCGGTTGGCCGGCGTGGACATGCAAGATGCGTGTTAGGCACGTAAAAGAAATCAGCACCCCCTGCCAGCACCATCTCCTGCTTTCTTTCGTTCTTATTCCAAACAGTCTGCCACTTCCTCGGCAGGTTCATGAATCGAGGCGAACCCCTCCCAGCGCGCTCATGCGCATCGACATACCGGGGTCCACTTCTTCTGCTGGTGCTGCTGCGCTGCTGGATCAGGGCCTCCGCCGCGCGATTCCCTCTGCCGCCCATCTTCTCGTACCTTGACGACAGGGAATCGCATTGCATGTGCTTGAAACACACGTAATCTGATACTGTGCAGTTTTGGAAACTTAGACCTGCAACAGCAACCCCAGATGAACCATGCTGATGCCAGAAAAGAAAGGGGACGAGTGATGAGCAAAGAGGTCTGTGTGCACATTCTCGTGCATACATGTATTAACTAAGTTGGTGCGTCAGAGGCTTATTTAAGGGCTGGACATTCTAGTACGTGGAAATTCAAGTCCATGGCCTTGGATGCGCAAACGACTTCTCAGCTCTCCCCATTACCTCATCCTTTTCAGGAATTTGGGGACTCTATGTTCCATGTCTGCCACTTGTTACCAAAGGTACTGGTCCATCGTGTCGGGCTGGAAGAGGCGGTAGAAGCCAAGGACATCCTCGCACCTCGGGAAATCAGCTATTCGTGATGCGCTCAGATGCTTCTTGGCTCGGAGATGGCGAATCCCGCGGTTACAGGCTTGCCGTCTGTAGACTAGATATCTCTAGATGCTAGCCTCATCCAAGTCCAAGCGCCTGTAAAAAGTGCAATGCGATGAGGGATGCCAAGGCGCAGCATGCGATAGCCTTCGTCTGAGAGGGTTGGCACATTTGGGGGAGGGCCGTCGTTGGCGAACACCACCAGCGGCTCTATGTTGAGCTCCTCTGCGAAGGCTACGTAATGTGTGCCAAGGCACTCGAGAACGTTGTCGCATCTTCGACGACACATCAACAAGTGTGCATGCCGAGCAACAGCTCCAACTGCCACTTGCAAAGGGAAATGGGGGCGACCCCTTAGGCCCCAAACTTGCAATTTCCTGATGCAAAAGGACCCCCCCCGCCCCCAAATCAAACCCCCAAACAAGTGCAGCTGCCACCTGCTTCAGGCGGTACGCCAGGAGGGCCATGAACTGGCCGCCCACTCCGTGCGAAAGGAAGCCAAAAGGCGCACCCTCCGAGACGCCACCTCGGGCGTGCGTCCTCGGAGCAAAGGGGCGAATCAGAACCACGCAGAGAAACCAAAAGACAAAAAACGAACAGGGGAATAAGGCCGCGAATCTTCTGCTGCTTAGCTGGGAGAGGGAGTTGCAAGACCGGAGCAAACCACTCAACCAAAGGGAGGAAGCAAAGGTGTGGCGCAATCCAGAAGGGAAGCCAGGGTGAGAATGCACCGACATCTATTTCACAACCCTGCAAGCCCTGCTGTGGCCTCCATGGACGATCCCCCCACCCCCCCCAAAGCAACCTCCATCCTACTCTACATGTCTCATCACGTCTGCCCAGCTTCACCCATTTACACCCCAGATCATACATGCTACATTCGGGGCCTTAAGGGCTGACAAGCCGCTTCCCGTAGGGCCCATTTGCACGGAACTGGCCGAGTTGCTCGAAGGCCGGGCGCATGACACGGAAGGCATCCTCGGCTCGCTCCTCCAGGCTCCGATCCCAGGCTTCCTCTGGCCGGAAACCATGTGCTCGCGGCTCCTGCCGGTACTCAGGGGGAAGGGGGGGGGTTTTGGCCAGTCCGAGGCTCGAGGCCACATGTAGGAAGACGGGGAAGGCAGGCTGAAAGGCAAGTAAGGGGGGTTCCAGGGTTTGCAAAGCAGGGCTTCTGAAAATCGTTCAAGCCACGACACATACACGGCAACCTCGCACCAATCAGGCGCGCTTGTGGCCAGCTCCAGCCAAAGCCTTTTCGGCAGTTTGGACATCCAAAGGCTCAGCCCCTGACGACTCGGATGACCCAAAAGCAGCTAGCATCAGATGGCCAGGGTGCATGTAGTTGTCAGCGGCCCCTGGGAAGCAGTAAAGCCGTATCATCGGCTTGCGAGCTTTCTCGGGGAAAAGCTTCTTGGCCTGCCACATGCCAAGCAATGCCAAGCAGTGCCAAGCAACTTGCAGTAGAACCACATCAGGACAGCATGTTGATCCCCTGCATGTTTCAGTCGTTCACCGCAAAGCCTTTTCAGGAACAGCTGCGTAGGTTGGCAGCCCAACTGTACGGGGCATTACCGGCAGCTGCCCACCTCAGGTGCACGACAGTTAGAAAGAACCCTGAAGCCTATGTTCCTATGTTGCCCCCTTTCCATGCTATTCAGGCTCCTTCAACTGAACTGAACAATAGTCTCGATTCGAACTGAGGCAAGGATCCGAGATAGTCGCCTGGCGGCTCGAGTGCTTCACCCTTCTTGGCCAGAAAGTCATCCAGGAGATGTGCCTCCACCTGGGACGAGACATTCTGTCTGCTCAACAGCTGCAAATGCCGGCTCAACCTTCAACCTTCACTTCATCAATCTGACAGTACTGTACCCAGGATTTGGGGCCTCAGCGCCTGATGACCCAGTGGATATCTCTGGGTGATGGTTGAATTAGGTGGCACGGTGGCACCAGACGGAAATGAAAGCGCAACACAGGAGCAAGGCACTATTCGGCTTTCAATTGCCGACACACCCCTCAAAGAGGCTTCCCCCACCTCTGGCCTCGAGGTACCATTATAAGCAGGGGGGCGGCCCTGAACAGTAGACCCCACACCACATGGAGGAAGTGGGAAGGCCACAACTGACCCTTCAGATACATCACACCAACCAACCGCCCGGGATGCACCAGCGCCACACCACAGCAGCGAAGGCAGAGTTTCCAAAAAATTGCACTAAACTTCATTCTCCCGTTGTCCCAGGCACACTCGCTGGCATCTTCCTCCTTGCTGGGTCCATCCACCAGGACTCAGCACTCTTCGCCAAAGCCAGCTCCTAGCTCTTTTCGACACATTTCGACACCAAAAACTCTCGTCAAGAAGCAGTAGTTTACCGACTCCTGCGGCGCATCTCAAAATCATGCACCAACGCTCGGTTCATGAAGACCCCTCTCTGCCCTTCTTGAAGACCTTCCCCCTCACCCCATCCGGTCCTCCTCGCTGAGTGTCGCGGCAGGCTTCGGCGCCTCAGCAGCCTCAGCAGCCTCTGCCCCTGCCTTCTGCGCAGCCGCGGGCTCCGGCTCCGTCAGCGCCTCGTCCACTGCTGCCTGCGTAGCATCAGCATGGCTCTGCTCAGTCCTTGGCAGACCAATTCTTCCCATTACGGTTGGCTACTTCCTTTCAAATAGACATTACTAAGCAATTTAAAATACTATTGTTCAGATTGTTCTGCTGAAGCCTGGTCGTATCCGAGGAGCTGGACGCCATCAGCAGCGCTGATCTGCGCTGCTGGTTCTTCCTGACCGCAGCTAAGGGTTTCGGCTCTCAAGGCAGGCAAGGGGTTTGGGGTTGATAGGGTTTGTTTTGCCACCCGCACTTCCCACGCTCACACGGGTTTTGGGTTGAGGGTGATTCTGCCACAGGCCTATTCAGTACATGGCTTTGCGACTTATATACTGAGTCAATACCACAACCACTATAACCACACTGGGCATCGGCTTTTGTGCTGCGAGGGCGTCCTCTACTTTTCGAAGCAGCTCCTTGTCCTTGAGGGTGATGCTCACCTGTCACGCCGACCAGCTTCAATCAGAATCATAAATACTTCGACGTGTGCTTAGATTTATGCTGGCACTGATGGCGGTACTGATCGTCATACCAGTGGTTCTCTATTGTCCCAAGTACAGTACATATAGGGTGGCCATCAGCATCATCCTCACCATTAAGTAGTCTATTTGCTCATTGAAGAGAATACCCTGACACCCAGCGCCGAGTCGCCCATCCTGAATCCGGGCCGCTGCCGGAGATAAGCCGATAGTGGATGCGATCTCCAACTCGACCCAACTCCTCTACACCTCAGAAGCGATGGCCTGCAGGGGCCTTAGGGGCCTCATGAGTCAAGGAGGTCTGTGCAGCTGCGACCGGGCGTCGGGAACCTGTCGAGAGTCGGCCCTCCAACCTTACTGGGGTCTTGCGCATCCTAGCTTCAGTTGGCTAGCAGTTTTTTCACTGCACTGCAAGTGTGCGGACAAATCTCTGATTTATGTTGGGGGGCTGCTTGGAGCTTGTGCTGGAGCCATCTCTGACCAGGATGCCGCCTTTGTCGCCGCCACCCACCACCTCCCAGCCTGCTCATGTTTGTTGAGTCTTTGTTCTGCAGCTCTTTGCGCAACGGCAGAGACTGTAAAGCGTGCTCTGTAAGCTTGGCGCATGCAGCCGCATCAGTCATGGCGAGGGCTCTGCGGTTTTGTTTATGCTTGTTTTTGCCACCAGCCTGGCGATTGATTGCTCCTCGAGACTACTGCGACTGCTGCAGAATTTTGCCACCTGCCTAGCTGGCCTGGTTACTGCATGGTTAGGGTCTTGACCGCTTAGGGTCTATATGGTTTGTTTTTGTTTTTTAAATTCCAAGGGGCGTTGCAGCTTTTCTGCGATGTGTGAGCTGGGTTTCCCTGCTTGATCTCATGACGATTGATCCTCTCGCATGATGGCTGCATGGTTTGTGCACTGCGTGCGGCAACACTGCTCATATCATATTGCTAGGGTTCATCTGCCGTTTAAGGAAGAAGGGCCTTTATTGATCAACCCCCATGTGGCCAAGAAAAGGAACTTAAGGAGCAGCAAAGCGATGGGGCGCATGTCATCCGAGAAGGACAGGCAAACCGGGACACTAGGCCGGTGCTCCAACAAGCCATCGTGCTCTGAGCTGTGCAGCAGGTCGCAGCTCTTTTGTGCCATGAGCTCGTCGTGGCGTCGCAGGCAATGGTGCTTCAAGCTGCATGTTTGTCGTGCTGGCCGCAGGATTTGTTGAAGCTGCTACGTACTATACGCTTCGGGCATACGGCCGCCAATGCGTGCTGAAGACCACGGCTAGTGCTGGCTAGCAGAGGCATCAAGGATTGCTTTCACCTCACGAGATACCTCTTCAGACAGCGATGCTGGCCCCCCAATAGCCTTCACCACCTCTGCAAGCGCTGATGCCTTCAAGGGAGGCTTGCAGAGTAATTTCACCAGTGCGTCTGCTCGAGGAACGAGCGGTGCCAGAGCACCAAGGGCTTGCACAGCCACTCCGTGAACCTCAGCCGGACCTTCCAGCAATCGCACCAATGCAGTCTGAAGCGCGGGAACAAGCGGCCGCAAAGTTGTGCCTGTGCGCTGTAGCAACTCGGTCATGGCTGAAACCACAGCGATCTGAAGGTCGGCATCAATGGGCTTTTCACCGAGAAGCCGAACAAGCGGGCCTGCGAGCTTCACAGCGTGGCCTTGCAAATGGGCTGACTCTGTGCGCTTAAAGATTGCCACGGACGACTCTGCGAGAGACCTCCGCTGCTGACCAGCATGTGTCGCACCTGTTTGTAGAAGCGGAGCCAAAGCATCTAGCGCCTTTGGGGCAAGCTGCCCTTCCATGTTGCTGGACAAAGCTGCTGCAAGGCAGGGCGCAAGTGCCTGACACAGTGACGCAGCCCCTGACAAACTGGTCAGACCCTGCAGCGCAAGCGAATAGGCGTTGGCACAGGCTCTGTCAGGTGAAGTGAGCAGCACACCTGGCACTAGCGCATCTAGCAAAGCCTCTCCTTGTAATGGAGGCCGTTGCATTGATCCGAAGCAAGCTGTAAGAATACGGGCAGCTGCCACAGAGTGGTTGCTGACGCGCCCTTGCCCAGTGGGCTCAACTCTCGAAACCACCGCATCGATGAACTCGTCAGCACCAGCCTCATCCAACCGCGACAGGATTGCTGCCGCGGCACTGCCTACTGGACCCGGCTTGGAACTCTCGGAGCCACTTTCGGAATTGTCGATCTCCAGAACTGCAGCCGCATCAACACATGCTGATGCCAATTCTGGCGTCACCTGTCGCAGCGAAGCCAAAGCTGCAGCAGCTGCCGCAGTCAGGCAAGAGATCTGCCCAAGGTTATGGGGCGGAGCACCAGCCCTGGTGACCAAAGCTGGCAGAAATTGTGCAGCACTGCCAGAACTGCTGGACATGCCCGCAACCAAACGCTCCAGACCTTTGCACTGCTCATCATTCAGACCATCTTGAATCTGACACAGCTCCTTCACAATAGGCTCTGCCAACATCGTAGGGGGCACCGCAACACAGCAGGCAGCGGCCGCCTTTCGGAGTGGCTCTTCACCGTCATCTTCTGTGCCACGTGCTGTTGCTTCGAGCAAGGCGCTCTTGATCCCAACTACCAGCGACGGGTCCCTCAGCATGACTTTCTGCCCCCTCTCGTCACGCAAGATCTCTGAAAGACCTTCACATGCAGATCTTCTGATGCTGAGTTCTTCAGCCTCCAAGGCGCTACGGAGTGTTGGCACCAAGTCCTCAAGAACCCCCAGCTTCTGAGCCTCAAAACGCCCTTGCAAATTTAGAGCCGCACGGCCCGCTGCCGAAGCTACAGCGGCTTCCCGCCCTGAAAGGTCACTGGCGAGGCGCTCGAGCAGAAGCGGCCTGAGATCCTTGAGCTGCTTTCCAGCATTACCACCACCAGCCTCATTTGCTGCACGCCAAACTCGGTCTGCAGCCCGACGCACAACGGCATTGGCGTCAGACTGCGCCACCACGCCAGCTGCCACGAGACCTGCCCATGCGGCTGGGGCTGCACTTGGTGTGAATGTCTTTTGCGCCAGCAGGACGAGCGCTAATTCAGCTGCTGCGGTTCGTGCTAGTGGCTCATCTGCACGTAGCGCTGATTCCAGAGCTGCAGCCACGGCCGCTGCTGCCTCAGGGCTCCTAGACCCTTCTGCTACAGCAGTCAAGCCACGGCGAGCAGCTTTCCTGATGCCCTCATCTTTGTCAGACAGGGCTTCGCTCAACGCGGCAAGGGTGGAAGCAATGTCATCTTCACCACCCTCTGTGTCTCTCAGTGCTCTTGGCAGGTGCACCATCACGGTGAGAAATCCAACGCGGCCATGGCCACCTCTTGCACCCTTGAGGATCTGCTCAAGAAGCTCAGCACGATCCTCAGAAGCTGCCAGCGCAGCTGCCAACCCCTGCGCAGCGCCTTCCATTTCTGCTTCCTCACTTGTGCTCTGGAGCTTTTGCACCAAAGTTGAGGCCACGTTACCAGCACCTTCATCACCACCTGGTGCTGCCGAGGTTGCAGCAGCCAAGGCTCCAATAGCCTGCGCAGCCGCGTCTCGGACGGCTGGGGTAGGATCAGCAAGGAGGGCCTCAAGTTGTGGCCGCAGTGTAGCCAAGTATGGCCCTAGCTCCTCCGCATCCACCGCCCACTGGCTCAAGGTTCTGACAAAGCTGGCTCCCTTCCGCCGAACTTCAGCGTCCCCCTTGGAGATGGCTCGCTCCACCACAGGGCAAATAAGAGCACAAGATGCCCCACTCACTGAGGTGGTGTAAACAGTTCCGAGGAGCCCATCTAGCGCCCTAGCTAGTGCCACATCGCCTGGCTCAAGGAGTGCAGCGATGAGATCGGATGATAGTGCAGCAACAGCGGAGTGATCGATGGCAGCACCGATTTGCTCCAGGACCTCACGTGCAGCATTGCGGAGCTCTGAGCGAGTGCCGGCTCCGGCTTCACAAAGGAGAGGCACAGCCTTTGGGACTACGGCCAGCAGTCGCTTGGGTGCGCTTGCAACTAGTTCTGAAACGATTGGCTTCAACAGCTCCGCTGCCGATAGTTGGGTTCGCCACCGCTTGTCCTTGAGCCCCTCCAGAACGGGATTGATCATGAGCCGTACACCGGCACTGCTCACCTGGCTTACAACCGTCTTTGCCGCAGCGCGCCCAGCGACTTGAACATCCTTGGAGGAGTCTGAACAGCTCTCCAACAGCAAAGGCATTGAGACCATTGCAAAGGGCTCAAACATTCGACCCAAGGCCTGCGCAAGGGCTTGGAGCAGCAATAATGCTGCCTGACGCTTGCCTGCCGATGTCTTCCCCGAAGTGGCCGCATACTCCTTCACAATCTCCATCGTGCCCAACTTCTTCATTGCCGGCACACCTCCACATCCCTTTACAACGGCAGAAATCCCTAAGGCTGCGCCACGTCGGGCACCTTCTTGTGCAGAAGACAAGTCTGGGATGAAATCCTTCTGGCATATCTCTTCGGCTGCATCTGGGTCTGCTGCTACTAATGGTGCGAGTGCATCTGCCAAAGCATGCTGAACGACAGAGGAAGTCGTTGGCTTTTGCAGTCGCCTTACAATTCTCAGCCTAATCGCACCTTGCCTCTGGCTTCCAGCTTCCAGCTGCAGCGCCAATTTTCCGAAAAGCAACGCGTCGACTAGGCCGTTGGCCTCAAGGACCTGTGGTGTGTTCTTGCCTTTGTGCTGCTGCTCTTGGAAATACCCCTTCAAGATCTCATCAACAGCAGATGCACCCTTCGCATCTGTGGCCACTCCCTCAATTGCCAAAGCTCCTGCCTTCAGGAGCTTGTCTCTATCATCATCTGACATATCTGATGCACATGTCAAAGTGTTCAGCAGCCAAGATAGCCCGGAAGTAGCCCGACCGATATCAGAGGACTCCGTGACACCCGCTCTACTGCACAAGGCCACCAATGCTTCGGCACAACTCGACACCTCTGGGAAGGCTTTGGCAGCCTTTCTGCTTGCGGCCTCTTCTGCCAAATCTGCGGCAGTTTTTGGCTTCTCTACATCTGGGAAATCCGCTGCGTTAAAGACTGGAGAAGCCTTGGCATCACGCTTCTGGCCCAATGCAGGCCTTTGGGGTGCTGCGTAGCCAGCTGGTGCTCTTGAAGCAGGCGCGAATTTAGGCTTAGCCGCTGCCTGTAATGATGTGGCTGTGGCTGCTAACCCCAACGGTCCACCTTTCGCCCATGCTCCGGTAGCTGACCCAGCTGGCGGAGCACGGGATGGAGCTGAGGCTGTAGCCGTGCCTGCACCTCTAGCCGGTGCTGCACCAGCAGCCGATGGAGCAGCTTCTGCAGCAGCGCCCGCGCCCTTGGACCATGCTGATCCAGCAGGCTTCGGGGGGGCAGGAGCCGGTGCCAAGACGCCTTTCACATCGACCTTCTCGCCGCCAAACTTCTTCTTCACCATGGGTTTCTCATAAGGCAAAGCCCAGACGACTGCGCTGCCAGCAGCTTAGAAATCTCGCTGCTGGTATTGTTGACACTGCAATGGATTCATATTCGTCGTATGGCTGTGGTGATTCGTGCTGCGTTCTGTACTACAGTGGAATTGCTTGGTGCTAGTTCCATGATCACGCTCCTTGTTGTTAATCATCAGTTACGATAGCGATTGTGTTCTTGATCCTAAGTATTCTTCTTGAATGCTTGCTTGGCTGTGGCTATACAGACATTTACTACAATACACGTACAATGGACTATAATATGCCTACTATGATATACCACAACTTACGAAAGAATGCTAGTTCAGTGTAATTTCTGTGCTTCAGACCCGGAATCTGTCAACACAGCACCGCAACGCAGCAACCGCGCAGCGCCGGAGCAATTCGCAGGATCATGCGTCGAAGCTTGACGCAGTTGGCAGGTTGGAACAAACAGTTGCCATGGCAGATGCACGTAACATTGAAGGCAACAAACGCAGAGCTTGCAACACGGATTTGCCCAACTGCTGATGTCACGACTTCCGGTTGGCTTGTCGGGCTCCAGACTGACTCTGCCAAGAATTCATGTCCAGCTTTGCCCAGCCGTCTTCCCACTCCATGCATACCCTTTTTTGAAGCGCAGTGTGACCATTTGACGCATGGAGAAATACTTTGGCTCCAGGCCGCATAAGAGGACTTCGCGCTCAGCAGGGCTCGGACACAGACCAACACGAGCCAAGAATGTCTTGGCGTGGGCGAGGCTGCGCCGGATGCCGCCATCTTCAACAGACATCGTCCTAGCTGTGCCGGCGACTGTCACCTAGGCCTCCCCTCAAGTCTTGATTGGCCAGCCCACAAGATCAGCACCTCAAAGACATCAAAACACGCGACTTAAAACATGGCAGACCGCTTCAAGGCCACTAGCTTGAGGAGTGCAGGGACGAAGTAAACATGTGTTTGACGTGACTCGCAGTCGTGATCATGGATAGGGGAGCCCGAAACGGGCCTTGGTGCGATTGCGATGATCAGGTCCACGACTCCACGATGGCGAAGGTGTGTTTCAAAGGTCTTCGTTGCAAGGGCGGATCAGAGTACCTCGTCAGCTTTGGGAGGATGTTTTTTTCAGGATTTAGGGCATGTCCGGACGCGCCTGGTACCCCGTGCTCCCAGTGTTGCAATGGAGCTACGCAGCCGGTCAAATTGACATTCTCCTGAAAAGTCTATTGGTGGGTCTCTTCTCAGAATCTTCCAGGCAACAATTGCACAACACCCCCCATGTGTCTTTCGTGTCTAGAGCTGCAAATTCACGAGCATCACCTCCCCTGAGTCCTGAAGCCCAAGGATTAAATCACGCCGTTCGGTTAAGCGCCAAACCTTGGCGTACCGACTTCGCACCTCTTCCACGCCGTCACAACACGAACACAGGTCCAAACAACAGTGATTGTGCTTGCAGTAGGTCAGTGTGTAGTGCTTCGCCAGCATGGGTGGCAGGGTAGGCATGCTGACATGCAATAGCCATCGCAGATGGCAATACCAGTAGCGACTCATCCTATTCTACCGGCTGTGCGCATCATTGCGCATTGCCATGGCAGCACACTAGCCAGTCTAGAGGGGGGAGAGGGTCTTGGAAGCCTCGCCCATGGGACCCAACAAACTCCGCTGATCACTACTATGAGTGTAACTTGTAGCTTTGGCTGGCATTCTTGCTATTGCGGGCCAACTTCTTCGCGGTTATCACAAAAGCCACCTGCATGTATGAGCTTGGGGCGAAATTTGAAGCGTCTGCTAGAGCACTCCGTGCATGAATTGTCCATGTTCTTTCTACACTCATGACCAGCATGGCTCGCCTACTGGGGCCGTGGCACTTTGCGGCACTAAGCCCGAGAAACGGTTGGCGTGCAACCTCGCAAGCACGGCGAAGCGGGATGCCCTTCAACTTGAGCAGATTATAGCAGGTGGGGAAGGCTTGGAACATGACAATGCAGGAGGTCTGTGGGAAAACTTGACTCAGTACAACCCGCTCCGTGAAGCCTCTCGCCTCAAGCTCCGCAAAGATCTTGTGTTGATGTTTGGATGAGATATACACACATATTTATATTTATGTGTATGTATCTATGTATTTCGTATATTCTTGCATTTTAAAAAATGAGATTAATATTTATCTCATGTGCTTGTCTGGAAAGAAAGATTTAGAGCGCGCAAGCATTCTATGGGGCTTTTCATGGATCTTGGCAGCCGGCTGAAGCTTCACGAAGGGCAGCATCCCCAAAGAGTCTGGTAGAGGTCCTGCCAAGAGCAACTCTCATGGGTTTCTTCCATTTTGCCACGGGAGCCGGGAGGGGGGGGGTTTTGCGGTACTAGGGGTACGCTAATGGGGTCCTTGTTGTAAGGGGATCCCACTATTTCTGCATCTTATATTAAGGGTCCCCTTCTTCCGTAAACTCCCACAGAGAAGGAAAGGGGCTCTCCTTCCATGTCGTTGTCGTAGAGATCCAGGGACCTCAACTTCGGCCACTGTTCCGCCAGATTGGCCTCGGCCGCGAGATCTCTGTGCTCTCAGGCAAAAACTAGTCAGCTCATTGTCTAAGCAGGAGTTGAACAGCTGGCGTTTCAAGCCAGCTAGTGTCAGTCTGTCGAGACGCTGGAATCTGGCCGGTGAGGAAGTTGCCGTCTAGCCAGACTTTCTCAATGTTGCTCCAGCCCAGCTTCACAAACTCCTCGGTACAGTGGCAAGTACTGAGCAGTGTCATCTGGTATCATGTAAGAGGTTACAGAGGGTCTTTGTGTTGTGCTAAGACATGTCACAAGACTTCCCTTCTATCAAAGAAGGTACACTCAACGAGCTACATCAGGCCAATTGACCGTTGCCCTCCCAACTGCACTAGCGCCACTTCTGAGGGCGGCGTGCGGGAAACACAATTGGCAGTGACGTGATCAGAGTCCATGACAGTAAGCCCGAAAGGTAAACCGACCCATCCTCAAAGGCGAAGCCGAACGAGTGCTGCGGGCATATCAGGCTGGGCCCTTGCTGGAAATCGCCCCAGTCACCGGTGCTTTCAGCGCGGACGCCCTCCTGCACCCAAAACGCTCCCCATTGTACCCAAACTCCATCTAACATCTGGCAAGCACCATAACCACTATACTTGTTCCAGAGGTTCTATCTGAGCTCAAGATCGGTGGTGCATGGCTCCTTGTACAAATGACGAGTTTCCCAGGAAGCTTTGCAGCCCCCTCTTGACAAACGCTGCACAGCACACGGAACCATCTCCTTAGCATACGCAGGCATCACAGGTAGTGCTAGGTATTGCACACACCCTAACCCTTTTGAACACTAACCCTTACCCTAAACCCAAAACACATCATACACATCTCAACCTGTGCCGCCTTGGTACCCACTGGCGGAAGGCGACAAAGGACCTCAAGGACTGTAAACCTCTCAGAGCCGTCGGCGGATGGACCAACATGCAGTTGGAGCCTGAGTTAGTTGGCAAACTGGCATCGCCAAGCGCCTACAAGCCTATCATACGAGACCTGGGCCTCGGCAACCATGATGGTCCTGATCAAGATAATTACAAAAACGTGACGGAACGAAAGTCAAGATCAATTGCATACCCAGCAACAATAGAAGTTCCGCAGCTTCGTCATTTCTTGCCAGCATTCAGGTAGCGCCCCACCGGCCACATGAATAACCTCAGACTAATGGAAGCCTATACTCCGCATCCATATACAACAAGGACCGGGATGCAAAGGGACATCTGCCTCTGCGGGACGAATGCGCTGAAGTGAACAAGGTCGAGCCCACAGAACTCCGCAAGATCGACGGGCGTCCACCGAAGAACATCCTCCACGCAAAGGGCTCCACCAACTATTCACGCAATCTGCGCTGCACCCCCCCCTCCACCCCGCCACCACACGAGGAGCACCCTCAAGCATGTCTTGCAAGGCATCGACCCACAGCCACACACTCTACTCAGAACCGCTATGCCCGCCACGGGACCTGGCGCCCGGAGATCTGCAAGGTTTGCAGCCGGTGCCCAGGTTGGCCTTGTAGAGCCCGGGCCGCAGCGTGTATTGCGCCCTTCGTCGGCGCCTGGAGGCAGAGACATAAAATGTATGATATACAAAGAGACGATCTAGGACAATCAGTTCGTAAAAAAGTTGATTCAAACGCAGAGGGTTCTGATTCGAATGCAGTGTCCTTGGTGTGGTCGTGGTTCTGAAGTTCTCGCTATTTTTCCATGGTGCAACGAGAATTATCCCGCTTTCTGACATCCGAAGATCGGAGGTGCTGAGGCCAACATGACGGGCGCAGGACCCTGTTACTCGGCTCAGCATCCACTACATGTTGGAAAAAATTGGCAGTGCTAATGTTTGAAAACTATCAAGGCAAGAACGTGAACTCTCCAACTTCCGCCTCCAAGCGAAGAAATCGAGGTGATGGCCAGGAGTGACCTGGCAACAACAGGCGACAACCCGTCTTGAGGTGCGGAATTCCCTTCGCCGCACCCATGGAAAGCAGTGGTCTGTGGGCGGCAGCTTGATGTCAGGTTGAGGCTTCAGCAGGGTCTACGAAGCTACAGTTGAAGTGTATCTCTGTATGTATGTGTATTGTGTATGTAGGTCGAATGTATAGAGAGAGAGAGAGAGAGAGTGAGAGTGAGAGTGAGAGAGCGAGAGAGAGTGAGAGAGCAAGAGTGCGACAGAGCGAGAGAGCGAGCGCGGAGAAAGAGAGAGGCAGGCTATCAGGCCTTGCAAGTCGGTCTTGTTTGGCCCACGCAGCACCAACGCGGTCCTAAGTGGACACTGGTGTGAGCCAGCGGTCAGAATCAATAAAGCAGAACTTGCCATATGCCACGAACATCCCAAAACAAGAGTCAAAAGTGCCAAGAAACAAGTGCTGCAGTCGGGACAGCTGTGTCAAGTTTATGCCTCCACCGAGCTCAACAGCATATCCGACGATGCGGACCTTGCCCTCGATGGTTTTGCATGCCACCTGACCTTCATGCTTCTGGCTCCATGCAAGCATCCCAGGGTTTGAGGGGTGTGCGCAGAGTTCTGGAAAATTCTTACCACATATTTCTTTCTGTGAGCTCATGCGCCCCCACCTCCACAAGATTCGCGGACCAGAGCATAATCCTGCGCATCAGGTCGCCCGCTTGTGACACCCTGGTGGACGAGGGCATTGAAGGAGTTTTGCGTCCTGGGACCCGCACCCTCACAGGTGTTGCTTGCAGTAAGTTTGATCACAGTACTTGCAGGGGCAAGCTTGACGTTGCCGCTTTGCTGCGCACAATACTGCGTGAATGTATCAGGTGACCCCGCCAAGGTGCCAGTCTTCGATGCCAAACGTCAGGCAGGATTCGCTTTCACCTGATTGGCACTGCTTTCGCATCTTCCTCCACTCCTTGGGAGAAGGCTCCGAGAACAGCAAGTCCTTCACAAGAGAGTGCGGCTGGAAGGCTGTGAACATGTTTGGCACCTAACAGACTTAGAAGTCCTACAAAATCCTTGACAAGAAACATTGTGACATCCGTCCTCCAGGTCTGCGGAGTTCGGATCCCCCACTTCGAGCGGCTCAAATGCAGGGTCCGGAGCATCTGCCACTCCTGAACACTTCGAGCTGCATGCCCAAAGAACCTCTAGGATGAGTCCAGGTATTCAGGAGCCTTTGCGCCATTCTAGGCTGGAAGCGTGTGTGCAGAATCCCCAAAAGCCGCACCAAAGTCTGAGACCCTAGTGCTGTGGCGAGTGGCGCTGCACTGCCACGCCGCAGTTGCCGGCTGCCACTGGCCTCACACCTGGCACGTGCCGCCCTGAATAGTCTGGGCTTGTGGGGCTGCAGCATGATGACTCTCAGGTGATGATGTGACGTCGTGACCAGTGCTTCCGCAACCAGAATTAGACGACGGAGGCATTTCCTTTTGACATTTCCTGGAGCCGGCCTGCAAGACAAATGACCACCGAGACGGCACGGGCACAATGGACCATTGATTCTGTGCAATCGATTCACATGGCGGCAGAGCTCCGGGTGAATATAAGGCAAGGGAGCACTCCATTGCATGATGCCAGACTGGCTTAGGGAGGTTTAGGGACATATTGAAGGGTATCTTGAATGTGGTTCTCTTTCTGCCTGGATCGATGATTCGATGATGCATGAAAATCAGACCCTTCTGACACTGGCTCTTTGCATCCACACTTCCAGCTTCTCAAAGGAAACGTGGCAAAACGACGGCGATGCATACATCACTGGGAAACGACGCAGAGCGATAGGCCCCCCCCCCCCCCGAATGAACCCCAACATCTCTGACGAAGTTGACAACACAAGCACTGACAATGCACCTCCCGAGCCCCGCGACCCTGGAAAAACAACACGCAAACACGCTGCCAGCCCTCATTAGCTGTCTTGCATAACCAGGCATATCAACCTGGCTTCTGATGGCTCTCAGGCCAACACTAGAATCACTAGAATTGCTGAAATCTGAATATCCGCTGCTCCTACTTCTGTGGGTGGCGTCGGCTGCTGGAAACCCTAACTTGCTAGTGACTCTCGTGCAGCAATCGCCCACTCGGTGTCGCGCAGTTTTTCGATGGAAAGCCACTTCTCTCCTGGAACCAAGAAGGTGTGTCTACACCCAACTATTGCACCCAGTTTGTATTTGGGGGAAAATGACTCTCATCTCCGCAAATTGGGCTTCTTTAGGCCCTCATCAATTCTGAAACTGAGTGCATTACTTGGGTATAGTAGGAACTCCCTCTGATCCAAGTGCCAAGTGCCACTGAAACAATTGGGCAGGAAACCGGCTTGCTCGATCAAGCCCTCTGCTGTACCAGCGCAACATTCAAACCTGGAGCGCGCTCTCGCAACAAAAAAGCTTTTCAATCCCACTGAGGGAGGCCTAGCCGGCCTAGCCACGCTTAAACACTTTGGAGAATCCTCACCGGCCGGAGTTCGAAACCTTGTTTTGCATACTTACAAATAGCCCTAAGTAGTTTTGCCAGAGATGTCCTCGCAGCTTTTAAAGACTATTTGGGCTGGCTTTGAGCTCCGCCCGTCCCAAGAATCTCCCGATCGCCCGGCGCTAGTCTGGACAGCTGATGCCGCAGGGCAACCGCAAATCTACAAGAGTCTGTAGGTAAGTTACGTAAGCATACAATCTGGCACGTGGCATGCTGCACGTGGTGACGTGGTGCCACGCAGCTCCGTGCTTCACCCCCTTGCACCTTATGAGTTCAGCCCATGCTCAGGAACTTGTGACCTTGGCTGCCACATCCGTGTAGTCTTCCACCTGGTCGAAGTTCAAGTACTTGTAGATTTGGGCCTCTGCAAGACGAGAGGCTGACTCGTTTGCACCCTCCAAAGAGAAAGAGAGATCCGTGGGCAAGGGAACAGAGATGGAGTGATTGCGCGCATGAGTACGTGTCGATACCAAAAAAAGGGATGCAGGCAACCGATCCGTGTGCTCCGAGCTTGTGCTGAATTCTGGGAGGGCACAGGCACTGTTCGGAGCAAGGAGTGCAAGGAGTGCAAGGAGTGCAAGGAGTGCAAGGAGTGCAAGGAGTGCAACCGGTCGGGATTCCAGGATCACGGGTCCCATCTTCTTGCTGCCTATATGCCTTAGGCACGCATCAATCCGGGCTCCGAAGTCGCACAATCCTAAATTCACCTCTGCTTTTGCCCCACTTTTGCCAGAAGCAATCGCAGTTCAAGCGTGCGGTTCTGCAACAACGATGCTGCAGATACTCAGTGGCTTTGCTCTCCCCTTCTCTCTGCCTCATTCTTGCCCAGCTCTGCGTGGTACTTCAAATACTCCTCCGGGGTCGGCAGTCTTCCCAGCATCGCCGACACCGCAGCAAGCTCGGCCGAGGCCAGGTACACGTTGGCACCTGCAAGCTGAAGTTGGTCCAAGGGGCCGCAGAACAAGGGCTCGGAAGCTCGTGTCTGTGGATATGTTTGGCTACATCTGAGTCATCTGAGCTCTCTGGCCCTTTCCCAAGCGGTTCGGGAAGTTCCGCGTGGAGGTGGACACAACCTAAACAGCAGGAGCCAACTATAGGCGAACTTGTAACAAGGCGCGGCATGACCCAATAGATTCGCTAGCTTACACAACCTTTCATGCACCAACGATCTTCACACGCCTGAGCCTCCCCGATTTCAAGCAACCGTGCTCCAGGAGTTTTTATCACATGTCTCCAATACTGAGGAGACGGCGGTACAGCCGTCTGCGACACGGGCCTTTTGCAGGTCAAAGCATCAGGGCAATGTCACAAGTCGCTTCTCTCGTTCACGGTATTCATTTGTCTTTCATGTGCCCCTGCCCTGCCTGGTTCCCCATACACAGCGAGCAGCCAGGCAACTCGGTTCGGGCCCCGACCTCGAAAATCCATCACTCTGTCGGCACCTCTTATTTGGAGTCTCTTAAGTTGAAATTCTGAAAGCTTACATGTTGGTTGGTCCATCCCGAGTCCGCCTTGCCGTAGGTTGCGTAGAAGCCCTCCTTGGTGAGCTGCTCCTGAGAGTTTGAAAGACCAAGCAACACACGAGACCAGATGCGAAGAACATGCAAAAATGAAGGGAGTCTCGAATCATTCATAGGCAAATTCATCTGGCTCCTGATCCATCTTGGTTGGGGGCGCAATCCACAGCCCTTGGCTGACATTACGTCTCCCGCACATCATTTGATGGTGCTCATTCTGGCTGCGTGTCAGGCACTGGTGGGCAGTTGCTTCTCGCACTGCGCCAGAATCTTGCCCGCAGCACGGTAGTGGCCAATGTTGGTCATGCAGGAGCCAATGAAGACCTCGTCGATCTTGGCACCTTGCACCTATGCAGCACGCTTAACCCTCGAAGGGGTCACCCCAAGGGCCAAAAGCAGAGTCTGTTGGAGAAACATCTTTGCTGCCTACGATGACTCTTCTTCTTCTTCTTCTTCTTCTTCTTCTTCTTCTTCTTCTTCTTCTTCTTCTTCTTCTTCTTCTTCTTCTTCTTCTTCTTCTGCTGGGCGGGGGGGGGGGGGGGGCACAGGAATCCCTCGGGCACGCGTCCGAAGTCCTGTGCCTCCGTGAAACTATTTTCAAAGCAAGCCAACTCGTGAAACTCGGCCCTCGCCCACCCTTCCTTCCTTCTTCCTGCGCGCTGAACCCCCCGAAAAGGGCCGCCCGAAGGCATGCGTAAGATTGACGGTAGGCCGAGTCTCAATTCTCAATGAAGGATCCGGCCACTTCGGCCCAGTGTTGTCCAGCAACCGTTCACAGGCCAAACAGTCCTGGTCATTGTTCTCTCTCTTCTCCGAGGTCCTGGATTCCTGGAGTTACCCCGCACCGGCGCGCCCCTAGATCAAGTTCGGTTGCCGTTGGGCTGCGGCTTTGTTGCCTTGTATTGAGGCTTCCTTCTCACCGAGCTCCCGAGATGTGTATTATGCTGTCCTCTCTCTCTCCAGCAAATCCTTGCGACGTGCCTCGGAAAGCATCTTGGCATCATCCGGATCGTTGGGGCAGCAAAGGATGGGCTCTTTGATCTCGTCCATATTGATCTCGAGCACAGCAGCATACTCGGCATCCTGAGTCATACTACAATGTTACTACAACCCATCTGCCTTCTTGAGAATCCGCAAACCCCTGAAAGGAACAAAAGCTCTAAGCTGTCCTTGTCCGCCTCCATGAGCTGTGGATTTGCCAGCCAATCCTCCATCTTGGCTACGCGCCTTGCAAAAGGCACATAAAGAGACACCATGCATCTCACGAGACGCTGAGTGGACCCCCGGTTGCACCTGGAGAGAGTTCGGGGATCACTGTAGCCCTTCGCAATCATCCACCTGAGGAGGACGATGTTCGACTTCAGGTACTCGATAACAGGCTCCTTGCGGGGATGGACATAACCATGCCTAACATCCTTGTGCCCGCTGGTAGCAGGGACTTAGAGACTGAGGTACCTATGGCCCCTCATATACCCCTTTTAGGGCAATAACCATGTCTAGTTTGACGACTAGGCCGCATCAAGCCTGTCGTGTGCTTGGCAGCACCTTGTGTCGGCTTGTCCTTGTTGAGCTTGATCGTGCAGCCAGCAGCAGAGCGCTCGGCTGAGGCATCCGAAAGCTCAAACGCCTGCTCACACTTCCTTAGCATGCTAAGGGTGCAACCTGTGCCAGATGCTAGGAGACTAGGAGAAGGGTTAGTAGAGGGGACTTGGTGGCAAGGGTGGTAGTAGCTAGTAACAGGGAGTGGCCCGGTGGCCCTGAGCAGGGAGATTTTCAGGCCGGGGCGCAAATCTGGCAGACCTTCGATTTCAAGGACGCGTCCGTTGAAGGCATTCACCTTGCCCTTCTTTTCGACCTTGTTTTGAATGTGCACAAGTGGGGCAAGACCACTCCCTCACACGCTACGACCGCCTGACATAATCTCCGGCGGCCATTCTCAGCATGTCTACAGCTGCTTGGATTGGTTGGCATATCCCTTCATCTAAGGCCGAGGGCCGTCAAGAGGCCCTTCTTGATGGCAGAGTAGGGGATCGCGTGCACCAGATCTCGCAATGTGACGCCCGGCTGCATCTTCCCACTGAAGCGGACAAGGACCTGCCAAAGCAGCGCAGGCAGGTGATCAAAGTCAAGGGGTTTCAAGATGAGTGGAAGGGCACGTAATGAGATCACTCGAGGAATCGGCAAAATTGCTGCGGTGAGATGTTGCTAGCCCAAGGGGCGCTCTCTGGCATGTCCAGAGGCATGACGCCTGTGGCAGCCGCGAAGGCGACGAGGCCCGAGCCCGCCGGGAAGGAGATGCCCAGGGGAAATCGAGTATGCGAGTCCCCGCCGGTTCCAACCTGGGAGACAGGGCAGCGTGGCAATGACTCCTCATGAAAATGTTGTTGTTGTCCTTTGTTTCTCGGACTTTCTCACTCCCCTTTGCGGCCTGGTCTGGCAGCAGCATCCGGTTCAGCCACGAGTGGATGATGCCATCGCCCGGTCGCAAGGCCACGCCACCTCGGTCAGCGATGAACTTCGGCAAGGTTTGGTGCGTGGTGACATCCACCGGCTTGGGGTAGGCTGCGGTGTGGCAGAAGGACTGCATGGTCAAGTCTGCAGAGAAGCCGAGGCAAGCGAGATCTTTCAGCTCGTCTCGGGTCATGGGGCCGGTCGTGTCCTGAGATCCGACAGCTCCCATGCTGGGCTCACAGTAGGCGCCAGGTACCACACCGGGCACACCACAGGCCTTACCCACCAATTTCTGGGCGAGTGTGTAGCCTTTCACTTTCACGTCCGGTTGCTTCATGGACCTGAACACCTTGGACGGCTCCAACTTTAGTGCCTCCCTTGCTTTTCCTGTCAGCCCTCGTCCGATGATAAGAGGAATGCGGCCACCAGCCTGGACTTCATCGTGCAAGACATCCGACTTCAAGGAGAATCTTGAGACAACCGTATCTGTGCCATGTTTCTTGACGACGCCTTCTTTGAAGCAGACATCGATCACATCCCCCATGTTCATGTCCTTTACGTCCATCTCCACAGGCAGCGCGCCTGAGTCCTCCATGGTGTTGAAGAAGATGGGAGCAATGACACCCCCAAAGACGAATCCACCAGTCCTTTTGTTCGGTGTAAAGGGGATGTCGTCACCTGTCTCTCAACCATGCACGCATTTCAGGAGCAACGATGTAAGCGGCTCGTATCACAAGATGTAAGGCTTGGACCCATGTACCACAGGATGGAATTTGTGGCCGACTTGCGGGAGGAGCCTGTTCCCACAACATCGCCCACGTAGACCAGTGGGAATCCCTTCTGCTTCAGTTCTGTGATCCTTAACAAGGGGACTCATGGAATATGGGCCGGTGTGTCAGAATAGAATAGAATTGAGGAGACGTGAAGCCAGAAGTCTGCTTGGAGGCGTCCGTGATGCCTTCCCGCGGGAACTTCAGCATGGCCAGGGCGTGCAGAGGGATATCGGGTCCTTGCATCTCTACTGCCAAGCACCACAGAACTTGGCGGCTGACGTTTCAGAAATTTCAGACCCTGTGTTCATGCTTCAACTGAGGGCCTCTCAAACTGGCCTGGAACGTGGAATGCCTAACAGCGGCTGCTAACCTTGTGACACTGTGAGCTGCAGCATCCGGCAGATCACAGGTGGCATCGGACAGTCTCCTCAAATTTGTTTGATGCTCTGGCAGTGTATAGCTGTCGATGCTCGACAACTTGTTCCAGCAACTAACCTCTCAATTTCGACTTGCCATAGCTTTCCATGATTTGCAGGGTTGTCCTGTGTATGCACAAAGAGTTTCAGCAAGGAAGGGAAGGGGCGGGAGTGGGCGGGTGTCATGGGGCGAGCCAACAAACAAGAGCCAGAAAGCCAGTGAGCCAGGGCACTGGACCAGGCGTCGGGCGCTGGAGAGAGGTCATCTGTATTTGTTTCACCCGACACCTTGAAGACTGTCAGCGTCACCTTGTCAGGAATACCCTTCCTGCTGTTGAACCAGTCAGCCTTTGCCCAAGACTCCATCAGTTTCTTCGCCTCGGCTGCCATACGACGCATAAGAATAGCCGTCGATGAACCTAAATACATTCCACACATGTGCAGTCAAACAAAGAACACAAAAGCTGATGACCTCTGACTCGACTCTAAGCTCACCTGTGGTGCCTCCAGTGTCACCAAGCTGCGAACGCGTTCCCTGCCTTCATCTTCTCTTCAACGTCATAGAAAGCGTCAAACATCAGCAGGGTGCGCGACAAACTTGTCACTGCCAACTCGGCCAGCTCCTGCCCACTGCTTCACACAAATAAAATCAAAACATTAAACTGAACGAACAAACAACAGCAATATCCAGAACAGCATAACAATAGTCGATAACGTAACACTTGTAGCATTTGTTCGTTCATGAATTCTCCCACAATAGGCCGACACACATCGTGGCTGCAGGCCTGATCCAGGTCCAGCGCCTCCACCAAAGGCTGGACGTTGTAGCCCCCCTGCATCCACCCCAGCATCTCCACTGCCTGCAATCACAAACAAGCGGGATGTATAGTATAAGCTATCCACACACACACATATACATGTTTTTCTTATATGGTTATATATTCTTATGTCCGAAAGAATGTGTGAGTGCAATCTACATTAGATGTACATCTCTTGGTATCGTTTCGCAAGTCCTGTGGCTTGGTGATGAGCGGGCTTGTCACCAGACCCTTCAGAATGTCCCGTAGAAAGTTGGCCTGTTCAAGTCTTTTCAAAGCTGTTCTCAAGCTTGGCATCGCAGACTGAGAGCTCATCTCTCTGGCAATGCCTTGACGTAGCTGGCATCATCCACCTCTCACTCCAAGCTCTAAATCCTCTGAGTCCTTTCGCTACTTTATACCTCGGGGCTGTGGTTTCCCGCTCATTCCTCAATTCCTCTGAGCCCCCGGCCCCTGGTGGAACACGGCTTCGGAGCAGGTCCAAGAGGAATTTCTCCTCACGAGGTCGTCCAATCGACGAAGCCTCTGAACGTTTCTCCTGGCTGTGAGAGGAATTCTGCAGGCCTGGCCGGCCGGCGGAGCCTTTAGCAGCTCAACCACACACTGCACCTTGCGGAACATGAAATGGGCGAAGAGCGAAAGATACGCGCAGGCGCATGTGCAGGCTTGTTTATGCTGGCTTGTACAGTGCCGGCCACGTAACTCTGGTCTCCCGCCTGCTTTGCATCCAAGGGGAGCGGCGGAATGCCTTGCACTTCACGATCCTTGACGTGCGCCTCGTACGCAGCCTTGAAGCCCTCCACCTGGGCACTACAGGAATCCAAATTTCAGTGTTTGAAGCGCGAGGCTGTAGTTCGACAGTTGGACCTCACGGAATCCCCATGGACTCCTCAAGACCCTGCAATACTAATCAAAGGACTTTGCTGGCAGATGGCATCTTTGGAAGTGATCTTGGGCAGCTTCACGGTGATCGACTTGCTTGCCGCCGCGGCCCCTGGGTATCCTGCGCCGAGCGGGGAGCCATCCCACAGATGGGAGGGGCACATAACAACAGGTGCACATGCATATATGCATGTGTATATATATATATACAGAGACATCGAGACTATCATTACAAGCGCCTGCATCTTCGATGTCCTGCATCGTGGGATCGGCTTCTTTTCCTGAACCAAACCGTTGCAAACAGCAACACTCTCCTTTCGCCTCATGATCGTGAATTCATCGAACTCAGATAAACTCAGTCCAATTCTCTGAGGCGTCTTGAAGGACCACAATTGCTGGCAAGATGAAAGCTTGGGCCGAAGAACGGCTGCCCCGTCTGTTTGCAGTGCTGAATCAGTGCTGAAACTATTGATACAGTGACTTGTCGAGAACTCTGGATCCTTGCGGCAGGAGAGTGTGGCTGATCCAATTCTTACGTTTGTGTGGAGACCTCGTCTTTTGAACACAAATGCAGCGATAGCTGCACCTGTGTTCCCTGCCTTCGAAGGCACATCAATGTCAGCATCATGAGCATCATCCGAGTCGTGTCACTGCTCCACCTCACACTTGCAGAGTCGTACTGGGAAAGAGTACGCTCTGTATATGCAGCATGTATCTGCTAAAAAACTCTTTTCTCCAGCATCTTCACTGGGTACTGTATCCTGGCATGTCTGCCAGCAATTCTAGGCAAAAATCATGCTAGCTCCTGCTACTCCGTCTGTGGAGGTTTGCTCAGCTCAGCCAGCACCTGCTGAGTTTGGCAAACGCCATCCGATGAGGTGACAACATCCCCCCAATTCCTTGGTTGTTGAGTTCCTTGGTCCAAACAACCATTGATCTTAGTGCTTCAATTACTGGAAGGGTCACATAAACCGTATACCGTATACACAAAACGGTTAAACGTTGCCTGCTCAACTGCTACGATTCGAAGGTCCAAGAGGGCCAGAAGGGTCCTGCACCGCAAATGCCATGGCCTCCCTCGCCATGATGCTCTCACTGACATCCACAAAGCCATAGTGCTCGGTCTCCCATCGAGTGACTGGCTCTGGCTCGCCACGCTGCATGCTGTGGAACTTGACGCCGGCCGGAATTCTAATGCGGCGTCCCCACTCTGGAATTTCCGTGAACTCTACATTCTCGAGGGTTGCGAGCAAAGCTTCCTCGTATTTTTCAGCTTCGGTCTTGATGCCAGCGAGCTGGAACAAAATGTCCTGGGTGCGGCCGTTGCCGTCCACCTGCGCCAGAACCTCACTCCAGTTCCCCCTTTTTTCGAAGCTCCGGTTCGTCTCATCCACAACCTTGAACGCCATGCATTCCCGCACCATGCCATGGTCGCTGATGTCAAAAGCTCCATGTTGCTTGCTACGCCATCGTGACACAACTTGTAGAGGTGAGTTGTGCACCACAGCGACGAACTCAAAGCCTTCAGGAATCTGGTACTGGTCTGCGAAGTTCTTGGCGCAAGCCCTGCTTGCAATTCTTTGCACGCGATGCCATCTGCATGTGACAAGTTTGGGAAGCACGGCCAACACGGCAAGACCTGAACACCTCCTGCTCCTCGAGGTTGTGGCTGTGAAGTGACATCCCAAACTGACACGAGAGATTGTAGAATCACAGGAGGCGTGAACCCGATTGGGTACGACCAGCCCAGCAAACATTGCCAAGGAAACAATACGTGGATGAGCACAGCCGACACGAAAGGCTGCAAAGACAGTGGGCACAGATAGAACTAGCACCACTTTGGGCTTTTGCACTCCCTTCTTTCGAGCATCATTCTCCCGCAATAGAGCTATGAAATAAAGTCTTGACACAAGGTGCAGAGTGCAAGCTTGAAAGGTTCTCAACCGTCAGGGGTGAAGCCTTGGAACTTGTTGAGCACGAGGGTTCTCTTTTGGGTGTGACTAAGAACGGGGGGCATCTGTGGGTAAAAGAGGGCTTCTAGCAGCTTCTCTGGCGCTTCTGGCTGTGCTTGTGACCTTGGTGACCCTGGAACCCCAAGTTTTCAACGCCACCCCAGGCCTTTTGAGGAGAAGTAGAAGAAGCCCCCAGCCAACGCCCAGGCCCCCGGTTGTTTTGGCATCTTTCTTCAGTTGTTGAGCCGTTCCCACATGGGAGATTCCTCCGGTACAGCTGGGTCCGTGGCCGTGTAGGAGCCCGTAGGGAGCCCATAGGGAGGGAGGGAGGGAGGGGGGCGGGGGGCGCCCCTTCAGGCTGATGTCATTTGCCACGGTGGCGGGCACAGCACTATCCGCCCCAGGGACCATATGTGCTTTGACCCCTGCGTTTTCCCTTATGGTCTGTACATTGCACATGGCATGGGCGATGCCGCATCAAGGTCATGCAACCCAACACTTTCTCGATTAAGCTAAGCGAAAGCTTGCAGAACCAGTTGTGGACGAGTCGAGGAATTCTATTCCTGTAGCTGTCTCTCAAGAGGACCTGATGAGTGGTAGCCACATTTTCCGTCAATGTGTAGGACAACGTGCCTACTTTACTCTGACATGCAGTCATTTCCTCCAGCGCATCCAGAGTCTCATCAAGTCTTTTTTTGCGCATCGCATGCACCACGAACGAGCTCTGCCAGAGCTTCCCAAGCCTGCGCGGAAGCTAAACCCGAAGAAACATGGGGTTTTGGGCTTACAGTGGTTCAGAGATTGATGGTTGAGGGCTTGGAGATGAAAGTTTAAGCAGAGTTTCGGGGCTTCCGGGTTGGGGATGTAATTTAAGGTTTGCTGCCAAGGTGTAGATGGGGGTACGACCTGACAACGATTTCACGAGCAGGTTCTGGATATCGGGGGTTTCGGGTGTTTGCGACAGCCTGTGGCGCAGAGTATGGCATCTTCTGTCACACCGAAAACTGTGCCAGTTCGATATCATCACCGGCACGGGCATAAGCCTAGGCCCAGCCGCTCATTCTCGGAGACTTTCGAGCCGAAGCTGATCGTCAGGCATGAGATGCCGTGCGAAATCTACAGACGGCTCTCACCATGCTTTGCCGAAAAACACAAGGTGGGTTAGACTTTGGGCGCACTCTCTCACATGGAGTTCAAACGCCGCCCTCGAAACCGAAAGAACACAGCAGGGAGGGTGGAGGTTCTTCATTAACCCCCAAAGGCTTGCATATAATCTAAAAACACGAAGTTCCACCGACAATGACTGAAAATAAGCCACGGATATTTGCGTGCCATTTTTTGCCTGGCAGTTGAACAGTAGAGCGTGAGTGAGTTCACCCATGGCCGAGTCAACAACCACATGATAAAAGAATTCAGATGCGCAACGCTGTCCCACCCCTCGCCTGCAGGAAGCTTCTGGCAAAAACCTTGGATTTGAGCAAAGGCTGCGACAGAGCATCTCCTCAGCAAACAACCGTCGCAGTTCACGTGAAATAAGGAGAGATTGCACTGGCACCGCGCATCTAGAAACTTTAGGGCACTTCAGGGGCCCTACCACCACAAAAACATGGTGTTAACCCCGACAGTCTCGTCCTCGTGTTCTTGCTCCTGCCCTGCTCCTGCGTTCTGCACAGCGAAGCGAAGGCATGTTCAGATCAGGACTCATTCCGCACTGTCCTGCTCGTGCTCTTGTTCTTGCTCCTGCACCTGGCAATTCAGTATGCGTTTCCTTGCATCACCGTCTCTGCCAGCAGGTCTGCGGATGACAGTGTTTAACCATGAGCAAGATTCAGTCTCAAGTCCGAGTCAAGAACAACATCAGCAGCTCAGCATCATCACCACCTGTACTCAAGACGAAGAGCCCTCCGAGAGCCCTCCGAGAGCCGGCGCGCCATCCCCGCAACACACTCCTGAGATTAGATCTAGATCCCGGCAATGGTACGATAATCAGGCCAGAATGGCTTGGAACTCAGCCTCAACCTGAGCAACCGGTGCTCATCCTGGCACTTCGGCGGCAGCGTGCTGCAGCAAGCACCACCGAGAAAAAAAAAACGAAAAAATGACATTGCTGCCCGAGGCACTGTGCAGTGCACAGAGCAAATCACTATCACGGATTCCCAACCACAAGGCTGTGCTGTGCGCAGGCACGCGCCTGGGAGTTGGCATCGGAGATCACTTTCGCGCGGCTGTCCTCCAGAGCGGGCCTCTTTCTTGCCTGGCGCAAGGCAGCTCAGCCACCGACCTTCAAGTATCTCCAGAGCTCCAGAAAAAGGCGTTGCGCGTGTTCCCTCGGGCCTTACGACGGAGGTGTAATACGAAAGCATTCTCCCAATTCCTGTCAGGGGGCGGCTTACCATGTAACACACAATCATGCACCTGCTTCTACATCGCCGCGTCTGTCGGGCGCCTGGCAGGCCGGACCTGTGACCTGGCAGGCAGGACATGAGTTAGGGAAAGGGCGCGGCATCAATGTGATCATGTGCACCGGCACGATTTTGCAGTGCGGCTCAACTTGGGCGCACAGGGCCTGTGGCGACCCCGCTGCCAGACCCAAGCCAAATTCTCCCCAATTTGGCACGGGACACGCACGTCAGGAGCAGCATCAGGTTTGCCCGATGTCACACTCACAGACCGTGCTTGGCCCTAAGCATGTCACGCCGAGCGCGGCCAAGGCGAGCAAAAAAAAGACTCAATGGCAAGTATGTAGTAACAATGTAGTACGAAGCTCTGAAGCTCCATCGGGCTCACAGCGCGAAGCACACCCAGGCTGCCATCCTCGCAGCTAAGGGGCAAAACCGTGTTGGGCGCAGGATGCCATGCTCGTGTCACAGACTAACACATGCATCCTGCCCAGCATTGCAATGGAAGACCGCAAGCTCGACCCATGACTCTGCAGGTCGACGTTGTCAAAGGTGTACTGATCCTGCGGCACAGTGAAGTCTCAGACATGTTTGGCCAGTATAGTCGCATGTCGCAAGTCGGTCGCAATTGCAAGCATCTCCTCAATCTCAAAGAAGAGGGGAGTTGTACTTCCATCCTGAGTATGCCACAAGGAATGAAACTCCACACGTGCGACGCCCGAATGCCTCGTTCGCCCCGTAGCGCAGGCAAGAATCGTCTTCGCCTTCCAAGCGAAACTCCTCGACCTGATGGAGTGCAAATTTCAAAGTGCTTGCCTGTGGCCACGTGGTAGTGATAGCCACTTTAAAGCCCTTCTATCCCTGTGCGCTGTTGCTACTATGCCAGTGGAAGGGGCACCTACCCAAACATCAGAAAGCATCAGAAACCTTTGCCCCACAAAAACTCGGCAACTCAGTGCCGATGCCTGATCCGATCCACTTGCAAACTTGTAGAGCTCCTGCGACTCTCAAAGCTTCAATTGGAAAGTGTCTCCAAGCTTGCCATATCTCACTGCACAGAAAATATCGATATTGACAGGCTGCAAGTATCTCCTCGATGTCGAAGTTCGTCTCCGTTGCGGTTTCCTCAGCGTGCCAACAGCAAACCAACACCGCCCACAGGTATATCTAGACCTTCAAAGCGTCTACTTCTGCCCCGTGCTGGCAAGAGTCCACTGCACATTCTAAGCAAAAATTCTCGACCTGATGGGCATCAAGCACCTGAGTGTCTGACGCAAAAGCAGAGTGATTAAAAGCATCCTTGAGCTACTAGTTTGGCTAGGAGCCTTCGATCCCTTGTTGACGCCATCCTCTGGGGACAAGGGCGGCGAAAAGCAAGCATAGTGCTGTGCATCGGACCGATCGGAATCGCCGATCGGCACTCCAGCGATGTGATAGAAAGTGTTCAGCGAAATCGCTGTCATTGCTGAGTTCTCTTCAATGAGATCTCGGCTCTTCGCCGGCAACTTGCCGCCCAGCGTGAAGGCAGTGTCCGTTTTGCTGTAGGATTTGAAGCCTTGCGCATCCATCTCCTGCCTTAGTTCAACCACTCCTTCATCCATGATCCTCAACACCATCTTCGGCACATTGGGAAGGTCGACCTCCGCCTCCACATACATCGGGGACTGTTTGAGTGCCTTCGCAATATGGGACCACTTGGCTTTCCGCTCCGGAGTGACGACAAAGTCTCTTACGATCTCTGTCAACTGCAAGTCTTGTTTGTGAGCCCCCGGATAGTCTACCAAGGCTTCAGCACCCGAGCATCCATCGCCCAAGTTCTTCAGCTCGACGTTCCTGATCGCCGCCATCGACTGCAGGACTTTGTGGCTTTTGGGTGCACGAGGTTCGAGCACTGAGCCGACTGAGCACATGAGCTCAAGTGCACAAGCGCAAGCAAGCGTTCCCTCCTATACGCGCGTGGTTTGGGTTTCCCTTTCGTCCTCCCATGCCCTGACAACTGCTCTGTTGTGGCCATGGCCCTCATTCGTATATAAATCATGAGTGGGTCCTGGATGGTTTTCTTTAGATCGGGGAGTATGGCCTTCTCGCTCAGAAGCTCGTAAGCAACGAGGAAGCCCAACCCTTGTGAAGTTTTACCTCAGGTGTCAGCAAACTGGTGGAAAACTTCATGCTGACACAGATGCTGCGACAAATTAGAAGCAGGAAGCTTCCCTGGCGAATGTCCGCATGGTGCACTCTGGGCCATGCTGAGGCTTCAACAGTTTCAGCATGACGAGATGAAACGGACCCTCACCTGGGAGCATACCCCCAAGACGCGGCGCTGATCTGGTGCACCGAGCTTATCTGTCGTGCTCACTGTGAACGCTCTGCATGATACATACATATATATATATATGGGTGATTATGACTGTTGTCAGTGAGGAGAAGCAAGGGCTAGCGGATTCTCCACCGATGAATGATTCCGCATATGTCATGGGCGGTCCGTTCCACTGAAGCTGGTCACTGTTTGCTATAGTGGTGACCATCATGGTCGGGACAAGCCTACAAAGCACCTTGGAGAACCCCAGAGGCCGGGCAGGCGGCATCGTTGGTGCAGATCATGGCCTGTTATCTTGCAAGCGGTGTTTCTTTGGCTTCGGTTCGGGTTTCTGTTCGGGACAGGAGCTGCGGACATCACTGCCGACAGCACTTTTCGTATTGGGACGATACCTCCAAGCGGCGCAGTTTTTTATAGGCATGTGACCACAGCGTGCGGCGTCACCTTTGAGAAAGCAACGAGACGAGGGGCCTTCAGCATGTGCCGCACTTTTCAAGGCCAGGTTATCGATGTAAGCTGGGGAGTTGATGGGAGACCTAGCCCCTGCAGGGGGGGGGGGGGCATGCAGGGTGCGGCCTGAAGCTGTTTCGTTCGGGCACAGTGTGCCACAATGCCCTGACGCGCAATTGTAATCAAGGTCTCAAAGTTCAGAATCCCATGCTGTTGTAGTATCTATAAGACTTAAGACGTTCCTCCATACCAGAAGGTGCCGAAAGCGCGGAATGGTCCTTGTACATTCATTGCGAGCTTGGTTAGTCTTGCTCAGGCTCTGGCGACAACAGACCAGCACTTCCGGCGGTTCTGCCGGACCAGAGGATGTCAAATCAAAGACACAGCTCCCTGCAAGCCGATCAACACTATCCTAGCGCCACTCGAAGTTCTCAGCTTGACAGTACCATGTAAAATCCAATCTCTAGAATTATACTCTCGGGCTGAATTTGCCTTCGACCTCATGTCCGCAGGCCGTGCAACAGCGGGCTGCTGTCGTAAAATGTCGTACAAATCCCTATGCAAATCCTATGTCAGAATCTGTTGTTGGCTGCTTCAACTGAGCCATGCTTTCTGCAAGTTGCTTTGAAACAGATAGACAGCCGGCTGCAGTCAAACACTGTGCAACGGCTTGCACAACAAAGCTGGTTGAAGAGACAGTGTGGCACGGTTCTTCTCACAACTCTTTTTCCTAACCCCTAAACCCTACATACCTACGTACCCTACGTACCAAAAGCCATTGAAGCTCAAGATGAGGTGGAATCCGAAGGATTCGCGGCCCACAGGCGCCCTTTTCTAAGACCGACCGATGCCACATTTGGCATGCGTCTCAGCGTCGGTTTTCTAGCAGCTTCGGGACCGCCCAAGACGATGGTAGGGCTTGGGGCCATTTTTGAGCAGACACTGATCAGAATGTTCGGACCACACCCCAAGCAACGGTTCAGATCATCGCCGGGGTCCACACTGCGGACTAGCTTTGTACATGGCCTTGGGAGAAAAGCCAGACCTTGCCCAGATGATGCTGAGCTTCATTGGAGGCAGGCTGACCAGCAGTATATATATATATGTATATTGAAGATTTTGGAACTCCTTGAAACCTCGGCCTAGGGCGTGGTCTTGTGTTCTGCTCCTCAACTCGTCTCCTCCATTCTTGTCGCCAGAGTTCGGCGGGTATTCGGTTCTCTGATGTATGAACTCCTCATACACTTCACCACGAAGTCTCTGTATGTACAAGTCTGGGCAAACCGCGTGCACGCATTGCTTCTAGGGATTCTAGGGACAAAAACTGCACACCTGGTGACTCAAATCGCACAGGCTCAATTCCACAACAACTGGCATATTGCAGCAAAATCAGCAATAGAACGCCAATGGACTTTGCAAATTTGTGCGGTTGGCTCGTCCTCCTTTTGGCTGATCTAGGGGACCCTCCTGGATACCTGGCGCCTTCAAAACAGGAGGCCCCGAGCCCAAGCACCTCGCTTTGCTAAGGAAAATACACAAATTGCCAACTGGCAGGAACGATAAAAGGAACAATTCTACCAACTCTTTTGGCCTTCTGCCCTTAACCGCCTTAACCCAAGGATGTCAGCTCGGAGGATTGTTCATGCCGGGGGTAAGGGCAGCCGGCACCGTTGACACAAAACTTTTCTGGGAAAACAACATGATGGAGAAACAACATCCGCATTTCACATTAAACAATTTGCTGGTCGACTGGTCGAAGCAAAGCAAACTGCCAATGGCACAAGTCGAGAAGTGCCACGCCAACCACTGCAGAACCTAAGCTTAGATGGAATGATCTGCAGGTTGCCCTGCCACAATTATGTCTCAGAGCATCGGTTGCGCTCCGATGCATGTTAGTTGCAGTGTTGGTAAGCAGATCACCACCCGGTTGCCTATCGCGCATGCCTCTGCGCAAGAATCTCTGCTGTCTCGTTCATTGAAGAGCACTACATAATGTGTCGAGAATTCATTCGCACTGAAGCAGAGCAGACTGCAAAGGACACACAGGATCCAAAAAGCAGTTGGGAGTTCTGTGATGTTCAGGCGTTCCCCCGATCCACTGGATCTCGGCGAGACCTCGGCCGCACACGCAACTGCACTCACAGTCGCAACAACAAGACGCGACAGGCCGATTTCAGCGCCCTAAAAAGACAACTTGCATATAGCTGGGTGGCCAGGATGGTGGGGGGCCGCGTCTTTTTTGTGCCTTGGCCAGGAGCCGCTTCCCGGCAACAGCATCCGCACGGCCACATGCCCAGTCCGAATCTAGGCTGCGCACAGCACCTGCGTGTAGACGCGCGGCGTGCCTCGCGCCATCGTGCAAGTAGTGCCGTCACATCATGCACTCGTAACCGCACACAGAAAAATCGTAAACACGCGCCGGCCTTGAACTTCGCATCATTGAACTTTGGTACCCGGAGGAACTGCCGAGAGGTACTCGGATGTACTCGGTATGTCTTCGGGTTACGCGGCTTCCTTGCTTTGAAGTTGCATGAAGAATGTGTACTGGGGGCATCTGGAGCTGCTGCATATAGGCTGGGGGGGGGGCTAGGATCACCCTCGTGGCAGTCGCATGCTAGCGGCGCGGGGAAAACCCCCCTCGGGGCGGACAAGGTCCATTCAGGTCCCTGCGGACGCTCATTTCGAGCGCGATCTTCGAGACTCCGTCTGGATCCCCACCCGCCAGTGAGCCCCCGACTTCTCTGATCTGATGAGCTACCCGAAAGAACCGATCAATACATCCCCAAGGCATCTACTTCTGCCATGTTCCGGCAACGGTGTGTAGTTGTGACTGGGGGTGGTGCACGGCAAGCGCGCAATATACCCCTCGCCCGCGCCATCGCGAGGAATCTGCAATCTGAGCGGCCGTAGTTCGGGGCACTTCAATGATTCAAGTAGCTGAAAGAAGTGAAGCTCAGAGGGATGCTGTAACATCACTTTTGGCCGCTCGAGACGTGCAGGCTGGGTGTTGAATTCCTCCGGCTCTTGCATGCTGCGGCAGGTCATTCGCAGCATTCAAAACTATGGCCTTTGTGTGCCTTGTTGCCTCTCAGCCATTGGGCAAAAAGTCTGGTTGCATGAGAATCTGCTTGTTCGTCTACGGATCGTTTGCCCCAAAGGACTCTGAGCAGCCTGGTTATGACCATTCAGTGCTTTGCTAAGGCAAAGCTGCAGGTCTGCAGGATTTCTGGAGAAACTGCCTTGGCCATTCGAAGTGGGTGGTAGAGGCAGTAGATGCGGCCTTCGCCAGTGCATGAAATCCTGTGCTGGGTAAAGGGGGTCAGCGCCGGACCACGTGGCAGCAGATTGAGACGAACAGGTGCCTATATGCATCTAATCGGTTATTTTGCTTTCCCTAGCGCAAAGCTACTGGCCACGCATCCATTGACAAATTCGCAACCGGCGAGCCTGACATGCTTTGAAGATCCAAGCGGATTTCACAAAGATTGTAGCCATGAGCAAGTAATCAACATGTCTGGCGTGTGCCAGGACAGGCTCGACAGATTAGGCTGTGCAACTTATCATCTCCGACCTCGCAAATAACTCGAGCGTCGGCCCAGTTCCACGGAGTTGACAGCAGGTTGAGTTCGGATTCTTCCCATGTCCATCCATCTTCACCACTGTCTCAAATAACGTGAACTTCTGGGCAGCATTCCCTCCACACAAATTAATTAACTTTAACTTGCGAGCAATCAGTCGCAATCAGTCGGTTCTAGAAGTAACTGGCGTCCTGTATTCCGTGCGGGCGAAAGTTCGGACGATTCCATGGCACATTGCGAACAACTACGTATAGTCAATCAGAAGTCCACGTTACAGCACGGGCTCGAGTGAAACTGGCAAACTGCGAGCAAGAATCTTGAGCATCCTACGGCCTTGGTCAGTTCTCACATCACATCCCAGATAAGATAAGATCTATGAAAGCATGCGAGCGCGTCTCTTCAATTGAATGCAGTTCGTGGTTTGGGTTTCCTCATAGACTTGACATTGAGCGTGTCATCACTCATAACTCGGACTAGCTCGGAGAAATCGATGCAGGGCCTAATGCCCGGTCTGGTTCATAGTTGGGTGCGCCCCACTAACCTTCAGCGTTACAAGTTCCATCGGTGCACTCTTGAGGTTGTGTTTGCTGGCAAATCGGCCCCATCAGGTGGCGTGCAGCATGTCAAGTTTCCCCGACATACACGGCCGAGCACCTACCGTACATGGTGGTTTCATGAAGTTCAGACGCGGAAGACCGAATAGCTGAAGATATCGAACTGATCTCGATAACGATTTGTGCCAGTAAGACCGTGTGAGAACTTACCGCACGCTGCCTGCAGGTGGCTCAACGGCATTTAATGGCCTTAGGAAGCCGCCGGCTCCCTCCAAATCCCAATCTACCTTCTGGGGCGACGTGCCACTACAAGTTCACCAAGTGCAAGTAGTCATTGGCAGACACATGGGGTTTTGCCACCTGCCAGCAAGCCAACTGTCACCACATCCTATGAAAGCGGACACATCAACCTGCAGCCACAACACGCCACATGTCTTGGCAAAGTCATGGAGGACCACAGAAGCATCCACGCAGAGTGCCGACACAACAAGCTTTCTAAGTCACTGCCGGTGTCATTTCAAACGCTCATGTGCAAAAAGCCGCAGACTAGTTTAACGCTTAAAAGGCGCGTCAGGCCCCACGTGCGGGAGCCTGGGGCCACGCCACAGCAGGCCGCCCATCCCTCAGAGAGGGCAGCCTAAGCGTCTGCATCCGTCATGGTCCACCCCAACTGGGACTAGAGAGTATAGTATACATGTAATATATATATATATACTTATATTTATATTTATATTTATTTATATTTATGTAATGGAGCCTATACTTGTGCATAATTACGATCCCAAGTTAACACTCCAGCTATGGCGTGAGGCAGTCATAGTGAGTTGATCCCAGCGAAGTCCAAAGCAGCGGCCCTTTTTGGTCACCCGCTTGCGAGATCTTGCGAGATGCCTGGGCTTTTCTTAGCTTGGGGTGACAGTGACGTAGCCCCTCACGACAGGGAAGGGGATGGAGACGGGATCGGCAAGGAGCGTCAAGCTCTCTCCAAGCGACTCAGAAACACTTGTCTTCCTCCACCACTTGATGATGTTGAAGGGCCTCACCTCTGATTTTGCCGAGCGCTCTACAAGCTTAAAGTCTCCCGAAACCGGATGAAGAGCTTTTCTTCGGGTGGGAGCCGGGAAGGAGGGTCCTACTTGATTCTCATCCCTGTCCTTTTACAGGTTCGTCCGTTTAAAGGCGTTTCAAGGCTCGCCTCGACATCGCCACCCTGACGCACCAGTAAAAACGGCTCGCCCGTCTGGTAGTCACAGCGAAGGTAGTACAGCTTGTCCTTCTTGCCTCAGATTTCGGGCCGTTCCAAGGCTTGCGGAACGCTGAAACCGGTTGCCAAGAAACCTGGGGCTTGCTTGAGGTAGACCCTCTTGCCGCCCAGCTTGGTGTAGCCGTTTGCTGGGACCTGGCGATTTCAAAACAGGATCAATACCTTCAAGTTGGCTTCCCACAGAGAGAGGGCAGGAACAAATGATAGAGACTGTTTTCTTGTATCAAGAAAGTCTTGCTCTGTCAAATTGGCATGTGGACCAATAATTTACAGAGATTAAGGATTCCGAGATCACTTTCAAGAGGAGGGCTTGCAAGGGACTTCGGGCGGCGACGCTCTGTGGGTGCAATATCCAAAAAGCATCTTCGAGCTCCAAAACCCTAAACCCTAAACGCGAACAAAGATTGTATTCCTAGGGGGACCCGGGGGGGGGGGGCTCTTCGACAGCAAGATGCAGCAAGAACAACAAGCTTGCCTTGACTTTCGAATGGGCAGGCCGATGAATGGACTTCTGACTCCCGTGCCAGTTCATCGTTCCCACTACTTCCAGCGTGACGGGGCGGAGGCCTCAGTCGAGCAACTGCCTGTATCGCCTTTTTTTGAAGGGACATCGCGCACTTGCCCGAGCTCGCCACAAAACTTGAGATGATGGAAATGGTTGGCGGATCTGCTTGCTTGGGCTTCCGTCTCCTAAACGAGCTGCAGATAGCTGCAGCTACCGTAGATGCGCTCTTCTTTTTAAACTGACATTCTCAAGTCAGACTCAAGTCCTCGCTTGGTGGATCTGGCGGAAGAGCTCTCTGCGCTTCTCCGGCTACACCAGTGTGGATGTCGACGACATCTTCTTCAGCAGTGGAGGAGCTCCTTATAGGACTCAGACTCACTCGCCCGAGTGTGTATAAGTTTATAATATACAGCCTGAGAAAAGGCCTCCACGTCTGAAACGAAGCCTGGAGGCTCGCCATCTTCCGTGAGCTCCGTCGACTCTGGCGACTCGGGTGCCGCCAGAAGCTTCTGCCTCAACTTCCGCACTGTCTGCCATGCAGACGGCTTGGCTGGCTCAAGCCTGCCACAAGGGGCCACCAGAGCAAGCGCTGTGCTCCACAACCAGGTAGGCACGCATCTACATATACGTATGTATGTATGCTACCCCCCCCCCGGCCCCCCCCCTCCCCCCCCCTACATTGACCCTATGCATTTTCCCTTTTCCCTTCCCCTGCTCTCAGGTCTGGGCCTCGGCTTCAACTTGGAGTCTTCCGGTCAATGGTTATATATATGTATATATACTCATATGCTACCATATACATATATATATATATACGGTTTGGGGTTTGGAGTTGGGGTTTGGGGATGAGAGCTCAGGTCTGTTGCTGGGTGTCCGTGGCCAACGATGAAGAACCTTTACCAAGGCTTCCGATGCCAAACCGATGAAAAGCCTTTGGAACACCAAGGTTTTTCGACACATGACCAACGAAAACCTCGATATGATCAATCCAAGAAACCGATGAATTCGATGTGTTTCAGGACTCTGGCTTGGAGTCCGGACATAGTTTGGAAAGCCTAAACCCTAAACCCTAAAATCCATCGGTTTCAAAAGCTTCTTGGATTCATCGAGATTTTCACCGGTTAGGGGTCGGAAACCGGCTTCCCTTGCTTCAAATCCGGCTTCTAGTGCTACATGCAAACCAAACACACCCCAAAACATGCAGGTCAGGGGGGGGGGGGGGGGGGGGGGGGGGGGGGGGTACGGGGGGAAAGAGATTCATATATATATATATATACACAGACATATATATATATATATGTATATATTGGATGTACATATATATGAATATATACATATACATATAATATATATATATATATACATATATACATATATACATATATACATATATACATATATACATATATACATATATATATATAACATGTTTAAGCCGAATGACTGTGCAAATATACATGCACATAAACATGTGCATAAGAAATATGTATGTTGTATATATTTAGGCCCATATATGTATACACACACATGCGCACACATACACACAGCAAAAAACACACACACACACACACACACACAGAGACAGACACACAAACACAAACACGAACACGAACACGAACACGAACACAACCACACGCAGAAACACAAACACAAGGCACACAAGGCACACGCACAGTCTCTCACTTCGCAGCTCCTTGCCGCCGATGTGGTCGTGGGCGGCTCTTTCGGAGGTCGACCTGGCCTCAAATATCTACAGGGGCAGGAATGTAACGGGAACCCTGCACAACAATTCCCAAGCATTCAGCATATGATTGTAACTCTCGCATGACGCACGCGCCAATGGTTCAAGCACACTATCTGACCATCTGGAATGCTTCTGAGGATGCTTATTTTGCAGGAAAAGCAATGACTCTCATATGCCCCAGGGGCTAAGGGTTTTGGGTTTAGGGCTTCATTCTGTCTTTGGTTGGAGCACCTTCTTGAAAGCAAGTATTTGCTGGGCACCGACCACTCCCTACAACAAGAACCGGTAGGGAAAGCATATCGAAAGCCAGCAGCCCGAAGGAAGCGAAGCCATCATCATCGTAGATGGAGATGGTGCCCTCCACCAGAACATCCAAAATCAGCGTTTTCCAGGCAAACTCGGCCTTTTCCTCTCCTCCCCTGCTCACGAAGATCTGCAAGGGCTCCGTGTGCGGAATTCGGAGAACTGCAAAGGTATCGGGCCTGGGTTACCGTGTGCTCCGTGGATTGTTTATGACTTTGAGACCCAAAAACATGGAAATCAAGCAAAAAAGATCGTTGAGCCATTGTCAATTTTCGGCTGGGGGACACTCGCTGACCATCCTCGGCCACCTCCTCGAAATACAGTGTCGGCCGGCCCTTGAGCCAGTCACAGCCGAGATAATACTGCAGCCGCTTGCCATCCGCTGTGAGCTGCTGGAACAAGCTGTATCCTGAGGGCCCATTCGAAGAAGCTCTATGACATGCCTAAGAGTGGGGCGAGGCTATTGGTCATTTTGGATCAAGCGAGCGGCCGCCAAATGAATTTACATGCTCTGTCTCGAGCCAACTAATCTCATTCATGGTCTCGTTCTCGTCAGTTCTGCCCGACACGCGTAAGGAGACGATTCGCGTGCATCTTGCGTGGTCCGCACGGCTTGTAGACTCATATCGAACTGCTGCCACGGAAACAACTGCCACCAGCGCGAGGGCAAGACGCATCTGGAACATGGATGACAGGGCAACGCCAATCAAGTTTGCAGACTTCGTGTAGCTTGAACAAAATTGCTACGAAGAAGGTGCGAGCATGGCAGCAGCAACAACGAGAGGCTTGCAGAGCAAGTGGAGAGAAGCAAGGTTGGCAAAGCCTGAAGCAACAGGGCATGGCTTGGAATCACTTGGGATCCCCGCACTCCTGCAATCCATCGCCTTGCTTGAAGCCTCAAAGTGACGAACAGCTGCCATCCTTAAGGGCAGTTACATGGCCTCCCTGAATATGGGAGAAGCCATATACCCCATACATATCCTGTACAAATTATAAATCCCAAGGGCAAAGACTTCAGAACCCTTCAAAGCAGCTAGGGGATCACGTCCAGGGTCCATGTAACTTCCCTTAGACAGTCTCACCTCGACGCCGCTGCATCCATCACCCTGAGCCTTCCACGCTCGAAGAAAGTCGGGATTGGAGTTAGGCGACCCACACAGCCTTAGCAGGCTTTGTATTGTACCTTGTGATGCGCTTGGGAGCCTACATGGTCGTGACGTTCATGCAGTTTGGTCTACTCAAACCACATCATACTTAAGTGCCCGCGGGCTGCCCCCTAAACACGATCAGTTGTAGATTGATGGAGAACCAGGGTCGTTTTCACGAAAACAACACATGTAAGAAAACTGAGGTGAATCTGCCAGACTTGCCCCCAAATATGTTCTCTTCTAGTTGTCCTGGTCACGGCCAGGACATACTGGTATCTACGCCAGCTGCGCACCATGAAGGAACTCGCTTGTTGTGGTGGGGGGGGGGGGGGGGCTTTAGAGATACGACTGGCAGCTGTTGAGACAAGCTGTAGTGGCCTCTTCAAATTTCGGCACACTCCTTTCTGAGTCCCGTACCCGGCCGAACATGTGGAGGAGCCTTGGCGCCAGACATTCCGCTAGAGTTCAGGGTTTATAGAGGGCTTGCGTCCCCGAGACATTGGCACGCAGATGTCCGGTCCCAGGCATGGGTTGCGAGGGCCTGGCTGCAGCCGAGCACGATGCAGTTGATGCATCCGAAGACTGTTGTGACAAGATGTTGGGGTTGGGATGTTCCCCCTTATACTAAGAGTCCTGAAAAGGGATGATTGTAGGGGTACTATAATCTCTATGAAGGACTGCTAGCATGAGGGGGAACATCCCAATGTTAGAGGAGTCAGTGCTTCGCAAGACTCTTTGGAGGAATTCAAGACAGCGACCGGACTGCGGCATTTGGGCACATCAAGGAGCCAGGCGGGCCCAAGGATGTCTTTGGCAACAACATCTTGCCTTAAGGGAGTGCTAAAAGGCTACAGAGCCTTCATATATACATATATATATATACATATCTCAAGTCCTTGCTGGCTCTCTGGAGAGCTGGGATCTGGGCGGCAGCTCTTTCCAAGCCTCAGTGCAGTGGAGCAGGCAGCCTCTGAACACACCTCGTGATACAGCGAAGCCCCCAAACAAAGTCTGCCACAGAGTTTCTATTCGACATCGAAGGCAGAAAGCCGCCTAAGTATCCAAAGCCAGGTGGGCCGGCCGAGTTCATTGGGAAGATCATCTCCCGCCGACCAGATCGCGCGGCATCTGGCCTCGCTACATGCCAGGGTCACTGACGGAACCTGACGCAAAGTACAAGGTCGGATTGCATACGAGATTGAAGAGATCTCTCCCAAGATAAAATATCGATAATGTCTGTGAAGGCTGTTAAGGTGCCCGTTTGGTTGGCGGGCTTCACCAGTTCCACCCACTGAGTTGGGTTAATTGGGCCCGCAAGCCGCGACGAGCTGGGGAACATCCTCTATGGCTCAGAAAGCATCCGATCCACACATGGGAATTTCCCAAATAGGGGTACCATCCCCTAAAAAGGTACCCCCAAAAAGGGTACCCTATTGTCGGAAACCCGCACATCCTTGCAACTAGCAGACTTCCTCTGCCGTACGGCTCGGCCCCCTGCACCATGCAGCGTCCAAGGGGGCACGGCCTCGAATGACTCGCCCAGCCCTGGTCCTTTTGTACTTGTCAAATATACCTTGTCTATGCAAAATGTACCTTCACTTTTGCGTGCACTTGCAATGCTGTCTCATGCTGTCTCATGGACCGCCCAAGACAATTATGAAGTTGCAGTCGCCACACTTTTTCGTCAGCACGAAGCAAACTAGACTTCCCCTTTGCGTACGCTTACCCCAGCACAAAGACAACAATTCCAAAGCCACCTCACCCATGCTGCAACGAACACTCTGCAATACCTCCCGGAACACAGCGTGAGTTTCCACAACCGTGCCCACTTCCTGTAGCATCACATCTCAGGCTCTTTGCGGGCCCAAATCTGCCCAAAGCCTCGTTCCGGATGTTTGCGAAACAAGGCCAGATCGAACCAATGCATTTCTGTCCCAGGCGAGAGGCGAGTTGTGTGATTTTTCTTTAAGCAACCTGTCCTCCTTTTCCGCTTTGTTTGAGATAAGCCCCCAGAGCATGCTCATATCTTGCCCCAATGCAAATGAGAGTACAGGTGCGTGTTTGTTCGAGAACCTGAGCTTGTTTCTTGGCCGCATGCAGCTGTCAAGATCACACACGTTCCACAAACACTACAGTACCTTAAGGACCTTGAGCCTTTGCATGAGCAGTTCCACAGGTAACTTTGCTTTGATGAGCTTGTCGCCCTTCTTCGGGATACTGGAGCAGAAGATTGGTCTGCTGAAGCCAATGCTGTCAAAACTTGTCCTGGGCATTTCCTTCATAACGCGGCATTGCCGTTTGAGGAGGTTTAAGCAAAAAGACATTCAAAGGATTCAAAGGTGTGCAAATGCTACTAAGCTGCACAGGTTGTGTGCACGAATACGTGCGATGTCTCAGCTGCCGACTTGCCGCCGCGGATCCAGGGAAGCACGCAGCTCTTGTGAAAAGCCTCCGTCATATTGAGGGGAGCGCATTCAGGCAATCAGGGGCGCTGTAGCACGCTGTAGCATGCCATTGCTTCAATCAAAGCTGGGCAGGGAAGCGTGGCCGCACGGAAGCTTTCGCCTGCCAACAAAGAGGTTTGTCGCAAGATTCGGCAGGATATGCCTTTGTGATTCTGCTGGGTGCTGCACCAAGCAAGTCGGAGTGGTCGGACCTCCAGTACCAATAAAGACAACGCACCGACCCACCCATATCTGTCGTAAGTGCTTCGAGCTTCGCAGCTGCTTCCATCGTGAATAAAATGGTCTTCAGTGACCGGCTGCGTCATCAAGGTCAATGTTGTCAGAGCCAACCTGCAGGTTTCAGCGCTTCGGGCACTACTGTGGCTCCCTTTTCTTCTGTCGTCAAGGTCAGGCGCATGCCTCTGCGGCACCTCCCAAGCAGATGGCACAGACCTGAGTCAGGTCAATGCTCGATGACGTCACTGGAAGGCAAACTGTGTCCTTTCTGGCCAACTCAACCAACCTTCCCGCATCCACCCCAAGATCTCTTCAACCCATTTTGCCGCCACACAAGGAAGCCGAGGCCAGGGCCCAGCTGTCTTCTGCACCTGGGGTTCACTCGGCTCTGTTAAACCATACCATACTGCAGTGCTCATAGAGAGAAAGCTGGGAGCCCTGCACACAGAACCCAGGGCAGCACTCTGGTGGACAGATTCCCGAAGTTCCTGGCCAAAGGGGAATAGCTCTCGAAAGTCAGTCGGGAAGTAAAAACACCTTCTAAGGCTTCAGACGGCACTGGGTTTCTCTCCGACAAACTCTATTCATACAACTGAGACTCTGCACCTTTTTTCCACGACTCAAAGTCCTTGCGTAATCCTCACTGCAAGCACTTCAGGCAATTGCAGGGCCAGAAAGATGCTCTCAGGTGGGGAGGTGCAGGTGCCTGCGTCCTTAAATGTTTGGACACGTTCCAGGCCGATAGTAACTCGCCAGCCTATCATGTGTAAGCTCTCACCGTGATTGAAAACGAGCTTGCGGCGTCATGTTTGCACCGCCAAGCTTGAATTCTAGCACCGGGTGCCTATTTTCTACACAAACGTGCCAAGAAGGTGCTGTGGTTGAGAAACGTTTCAATCTCAACAGAAGCCCCTGAAACATTCTGAATTCCAGTGCATGCATCCACGCTTCGGAGCAGCTTCTCTTGGCATGCTCGAAAGCACGGCTATCCACTAAAATCTGAGGGCATCGGCATCTCTCCTTTAATCTTCCGTTGTGGTGTAGCGAGGAAGCGGAACCTTGCTATCAGCCTGGGTCACGCATCCTCACCGGACCTCTAGGCAGACTCCGTGCGTTTCGCCCGGAAATCCTTCGCTCATGGGAGGAATCGTTTCTTTCTCAATGGAACGGAGTTTGAGCATCCGGGAGCCCCCCTTTACAAGCTTGATGTTGAGCCTGCGACGACGTACGGAGTTCAGCTAGTGACAGCTAGTGCTGGTCGACCTAAAGCCTGGTCATGTCCTCTTCCCACGAACCCTTTGCTGCAACTGGAATGGAGAGCTAGACTCATCCCGCGAGGCATGGCTAATGAAGCCCTTATAACTCTACCATATTCTATCCCTTGCCAATGCGGCCCAGCGGCAGCTCGGCAGACCGGGCAATGGCGCGAAGCAAATCGCCCAGAGAAAGCCCAGCTCACAATGCACGCCTGCACACCCGGCAGCAAGAGACCAAGAGTTTGGGCACCGGGGGGTGCTGCAAATTCCGCCTGAAGCAATGAGAACTTCTACTGTCCGACCCGCATAAACAAGTGTGGGACAGTGTGGGAATGTGGTGCCAGTGGAGGTTTCTCACGACTGTGGCGCCATTGTCGAGGCTCTGCCACATCGGGGCCTCCTCAACTCCAATCTCGGTCTTGCAATAGAAGGCATCATCAGGGGGCTCACCAGGCACATGCAAACATGCACATGGACGGCGCACGAGATGGCCTTGCATACTTACTTTAACTTTGTGGCTGATGCCAGACGCCACCACAACTTACCAACACGAACCGATGTCAGCTACCAGCTGGAGAGTTTGTGTGCTCGCTGGACGGCCTTTCATGCGCCGAATGAAGTCTAGAGCGCAGCCGGCACGTACTGCGATGACCATTGCCATCGGCGTTGATTGCTCGGCATCGGTGCTTTGACGAGTGCGACAAGGCACGCTGACGACAATCACCGAACGAGAGGTCAACGTAGAAACGCTTTCGAACAGTCGACGGCACGTACAATAATGGCAGTGTAAAACCTCACTGAAGGTGACTTGCGGGCAGGCTTGTAGACAACATGATAAAGCATTCTCTGGTCATGCGCACAGAACTTGGCCTCACAGAACATATGTCCACAAGGGAGAACACAAAGCGAGTCGCCAGTCTCAAAGTCCTGAGACCGCAGTGCAGAGAATACAAGCCCTCAATCGCTGCATCGTCGTCATCACCACCGTTATCATCGCCACATTCCTAACACAGATGACAACAAAGCCAAGCGGCTGCGAGGCAGCACACACAGCTTCCGCTGTCTTTGTGGGCAGTTATGTGGCAGTCGTTCGCAGGCCCGAGCTGCTGCAGCTGAGCCTTTCCCCCTGACCGCGCGCCGTGGATACGGAATCGCTGGAGCTCCTGGGAGGCGACAGTACAGCCCTCTGCACCCCAAGACTTCATTATCCCCATGAAACCCCGCTGGGCCCGTCTTGAAGCCGCGACTGATGGACAGCCCTGAAGTTTTTCACTTCAAAACAACAAATGCTGCAGGGCCACAAGGGTTGAGTCGCTCTCGCCATAGGTCATGTGGGCCCATTTCCTGTACACCTCCGCACGACACAAACCCCACACATCAGTTCCCTGCTGTGAAGTTGGAGTCGCAAAGTCCCCTACATCGTATATAAGCCTACAACACCTATGAGGCATTGTATAGGTAGGATTCAAGATGTTGCCAATGTTCTGCGTGCCTTGTATGTGTCGTCTCGCTTGGGCCGAGGGTGCGTCGCGGTTTTTCTCTTGAGGACGAGGAACAAGGTTACCTGAGCTAAAAGAGTCCCCAAGCAATACACAAAAAGAAAGCCTGTTGCACAAAGTCTGATGTCCAGGCCCATCAAACTGTGGGTGGGGGGGGGTCGGGGAAAACTGTCCTTTCTGCAGCATGGCTGCTGGTAGAAGCAAGCACCCTGCCGCCACATAGATCAAGTCCCATGGGCTTGAAAGCATGTTGTGGACAGCAAATAGAAGGGAACTTAGCATCGCCCCGACGAAGAGGAGGATCTTGTCCATGCATGCGATGGGCTTGTCAAAAAAGGCAGCCATCCTCTGATGCGCCTGGCACTTCGGACTGGCAGTTGGTACTTCAATATCATACACACACACGCACACGCACACGCACACACACACACACACACACACACATATATATATATATATGTGTATATATAAATATGCTACCCCCCCCCCATGGACCTACCAATTTCCTTTGTTTTTATCCATGAATTTCGCGGTCTAAGCCACATGGTTTGAAAACCATGGGTTTTATGGATAACATTTGTTTTGCCGATGTTTTCGGGCTCCATCCTTCAAAAACATTGGTAAAACCAATTATCCGTGAATTGGGTGCTCCCAGCCACATGGTTTGAAAACCATGGATTTTATGGATAACATTGGTTTTGCCGATGTTTTCGGGCTCCATCCTTCAAAAACATGGGTAAAACCAATGTTTTCCATGATTTTCGTGATCTGAGGCTCTCTCCCAGCCACCATTTCTCGAGGTAGTACCAAGCAACAAACTCGAATCCTGCAAAATCTCGAGGGAGTACCAAAACCTCCTTATAATCAATCACGCCCCAATACGCAAGACATGACATCTGTCCTAAAAACACTACCTTAGCTACGATATCTCAAACAGTCATCCCCCGATAAGCAAGACCTAATATCTATACTAAACCTGTACCTTAGCAACATATCTTAAGACATCACGCCCTAAGGCTCCTACCAATTTAATAAGGTTCCTATCAATTTCAACAGGATTCTTATGCATGTTACTGGGATTCGCATAGGATTCTCATTAATTTTAAAGGATTCCTATTGGATTAGGCTCATACTAGTTTAGTAGGATTCCTATCAGTTCTTGTTAAAGGATTCTATTGTTTTTAAGGCCTATTGGTTCCTATTGATTTAGAAAGATTCCTTCTCGTTTTAATAGGATTCCTGTGACTTGTAACCCGGGTTGTTTCCAACTTGTTAAGGTTCCTATTCATTTTAATAGGCTTCCTATTAACTGTTGTCCGGTCCCGATAATTCAATAGAGGATTCCTATTTACTTTCATAGGATCCCAATAAAGTTTCATAGGGTTCCTAATTATTAATAAGGCCCCTATTTTCTGTAATAAGAGTCCTATCAATTTTAATCAGACTCTTATTCATGTTAATGGGGTTCGTGTTAATATTAAAGGGATCTCATTCACTTTCAAGGGATTCCTGTTGGTTTAGGCTCATGTTCATTTTAATCGGTTTGTCTAAAGGTTCACGTTATTTCTTATAGGAGTCCGATTGGTTCCTATTAATTTGAGTAGGTTTCCTCTTCAGTTTAATAGGATTCCTACTAATCCTATTAATTCTACGAAAATGTTGGGAGAGTACCAAAACCTCCTTACAATCAATCACGCCCCAATACGCAAGACATGACATCTGTCCTAAAAACACTACCTTAGCTACGATATCTCAAACAGTCATCCCCCGATAAGCAAGACCTAATATCTATACTAAACCTGTACCTTAGCAACATATCTTAAGACATCACGCCCTAAGGCTCCTACGAATTTAATAAGGTTCCTATCAATTTCAACAGGATTCTCATGCATGTTACTGGGATTCGCATAGGATTCTCATTAATTTTGAAGGATTCCTATTGGATTAGGCTCATACTAGTTTAGTAGGATTCCTATCAGTTCTTGTTAAAGGATTCTATTGTTTTGAAGGCCTATTGGTTCCTATTGATTTAGAAAGATTCCTTCTCGTTTGAATAGGATTCCTGTGACTTGTAACCCGGGTTGTTTCCAACTTGTTAAGGTTCCTATTCATTTTAATAGGCTTCCTATTAACTGTTGTCCGGTCCCGATAATTCAATAGAGGATTCCTATTTACTTTCATAGGATCCCAATAAAGTTTCATAGGGTTCCTAATTATTAATAAGGCCCCTATTTTCTGTAATAAGAGTCCTATCAATTTTAATCAGACTCTTATTCATGTTAATGGGGTTCGTGTTAATATTAAAGGGATCTCATTCACTTTCAAGGGATTCCTGTTGGTTTAGGCTCATGTTCATTTTAATCGGTTTGTCTAAAGGTTCACGTTATTTCTTATAGGAGTCCGATTGGTTCCTATTAATTTGAGTAGGGTTCCTCTTCAGTTTAATAGGATTCCTACTAATCCTATTTATTCTACGAAAATGTTGGGAGAGCACCAAAACCTCCTTACAATCAATCACGCCCCAATACGCCAAGACATGACATCTGTCCTAAAAACACTACCTTAGCTACGATATCTCAAACAGTCATCCCCCGATAAGCAAGTCCTAACATCTATACTAACACTGTACCTTAGCAACATATCTTAAGACATCACGCCCTAAGGCTCCTACCAATTTAATAAGGTAGGATTCTTATGCATGTTACTGGGATTCGCGTAGGATTCTCATTGATTTGAAGGGATTCCTATTGGATTAGGCTCATACTAGTTTAGTAGGATGTTAGAGGATAAAAACCATGATTTTTCAAACTACTCGGAGACCCAAGCCCATAGTTTGGAAAATCATGGTTTTTATGGTTTTTATTGGTTTTTGCGATGTTTCGTGAGCATGGGCTCAAAAAACATCGGTAAAACCAATGTTTTTTTGAAGGTAGGGGTTCAAAAACATCGGTAACACCAATGTTTTGGAGAGGCCACCTTCAAAAAACATCGGTAAAACCAATGTTTTTGGAGCCCCTGCTCAGGAAACATCGCAAAAACCAATAAAAACCATAAAAACCATGATTTTTCAAACTACTCGGAGACCCAAGCCCATAGTTTGGAAAATCATGGTTTTTATGGTTTTTATTGGTTTTTGCGATGTTTCGTGAGCATGGGCTCAAAAAACATCGGTAAAACCAATGTTTTTTGAAGGTAGGGGTTCAAAAACATTGGTAAAACCAATGTTTTGGAGAGGCCACCTTCAAAAAACATCGGTAAAACCAATGTTTTTGGAGCCCCTGCTCAGGAAACATCGCAAAAACCAATAAAAACCATAAAAACCATGATTTTTCAAACTACTCGGAGACCCAAGCCCATAGTTTGGAAAATCATGGTTTTTATGGTTTTTATTGGTTTTTGCGATGTTTCGTGAGCATGGGCTCAAAAAACATCGGTAAAACCAATGTTTTTTGAAGGTAGGGGTTCAAAAACATTGGTAAAACCAATGTTTTGGAGAGGCCACCTTCAAAAAACATCGGTAAAACCAATGTTTTTGGAGCCCCTGCTCAGGAAACATCGCAAAAACCAATAAAAACCATAAAAACCATGATTTTTCAAACTACTCGGAGACCCAAGCCCATAGTTTGGAAAATCATGGTTTTTATGGTTTTTATTGGTTTTTGCGATGTTTCGTGAGCATGGGCTCAAAAAACATCGGTAAAACCAATGTTTTTTGAAGGTAGGGGTTCAAAAACATTGGTAAAACCAATGTTTTGGAGAAGCCACCCTTTTTTGAAACATCGGTCAAGCCGAGGTTTCAAAAAAAAGGTAGGTCCATGGGGGGGGGGGGTACCATAAATATATATATATATATATTTATTTATTTATGTATCTGTGTATGCGTATGTCATTATATATATATATATATGATACACCATAATATGTGTATATATGTATATGTAATGTAAAAACATAAATATGCACGGCACAAGTCTTTCAAGAGCGTCGGCCAAGGAGCCCAAGGCTGGCGGGAGCTGCGGTGGCCTGGTCATGACACCGCGTTGCAGCGTTGCAAGGCTTCAGAAGGATGCACATCCAGCAGCCACAGGCATCTCTGACATCTCTTACAAGACGGAATAAATGCACCGTGGCCCTTTCGCGAAATGCCCAGCTCGGTTCACATACACAAGTTTAGGGTTACATAAGCTTGAGACAATGCAGGACTTCCACGCACAGTTGTCACGAACCTTGTAACCAAGCCGGAAGCTGCAGCCAACTTCGCGTTACCTCGGAACGCACATGCATGCTGTCAAGGTAGTCTGAACAAGAAGGCCCACTTAGAAGAAACATGCCAGATAAGACGATCTCAAAACAACAAGAGTCAAGCTAGATTCTCCAACGTCACGTCCGTTTCACAATGCTGGGAGCCTGGCAATGGGGTCGCTCGAGGAAGATGTGCCTGGAAGTCTCTTCTATGCTTGTTTCATCTTTTCTCCATCAACCCAACTGTGTCATGCCATCATCTCGCCATGTCAAAATAATGTCGAGTGCACCTGGAGTCTGTGCATCCTCTTGCGCAGCAGGGCGACCAATAATCATCACATCAGCCATGGCGGCTCAGTCAGTCAGCCAAGCTAGGTGTCAAGGGTGTCACCTAACCATGCTTGGCTCTCGGATCCCTACAGTGATGCTGGAGTCACCTGGCATAATCAATGTCTACATCTATCTTTGGGCCAAAACTTTCTGCAAAAGTCATATTACACAAGGGAAAACAGAAGCAAACCTTTTGGAAAATCAGCTCCTGACAGTGCTGACACTGGCCATTGCACCCCCCCCAAGCCTCCACTTTGCAAGGAGTACCGTTGATCGATGTAGGAACGAACCTCAAGACGCGGTCAGCGAGAACACACGACAACCAGGCGTTGAAGGCGCTGGGAGACTGAACTAGCGTGGTACCAGATTGCAAGTTGTATCAGTGAACGTCTGCGCGATGCGTGTGATGCTTCAAGCCGTGCCGGGCTGGGCGTGCACTCATGCTCACTGCCGGGTGCTCGGCGGGCGCAGGTTTCCGTCGTCGCAGGGGCTGTCAGACATCAGCCCTAGCTGCCTTAGCTGCCCTGACTTCGTGCTGAATCACGTGAAGTAGAAATCATACTTGTGCAACCAGGCCTCGGCAAGGCATGCACCTCCGTTTCACTGCTTTCGCTGTTACCTGTGTGCCAGGAACAACCGAAGGGCCGTAGCTCCGACAATGACCGGACGTCTTCACAGACTGGGCACATGTTCGGCTGCCCTGCTCTCAGAAAAGCAGCCTCAAACCCACCATCCCGCATCCAGCTGAGGTTCTGCGACCACGAATCCGAAACAAAGTCAACATCATACAGTACTTACAGAAACATACCAGGTCAAAGCGAACCTGAGCTGATAGAGTGCTGTGATGTACTTGCAACTACTTGTAGTTGTAGAGGGAACTCGCAAAGAAGCAGCTCTGGCACTACCCAATTTCGCCCCAGAGGCGTCTCCAACTAGCAATCCCCTTTCGCCCGAGAAACGATGCATCTCCAACTGGCAAGCCCCCATGTTCGCCGACAGCAAAAGCGTGGTAAACTTGAAACACAGATTCGGGCCAAAGGCTTTCGGAGAGTCAAGTTGTGCTAAACTTGAAACAGAGATTCGGGCCAAAGGCTTACGGAGAGCCAAAACGTGTTAAACTTGAAACAGAGATTCGGGCCAAAGGCTTCCACAGAGCCAAAACGTGTTCGACTTGAAACACAGATTCGGGCCAAAGGCTTTCGGAGAGCCAAAACGTGTTCGACTTGAAACAGAGATTCGGGCCAAAGGCTTCCGCAGAGCCAAAACGTGTTCGACTTGAAACACAGATTCGGGCCAAAGGCTTTCGGAGAGCCAAATTGTCTTAAACTTGAAACAGAGATTCGGGCCAAAGGCTTCCGCAGAGCCAAAACGTGTTCGACTTGAAACACAGATTCGGGCCAAAGGCTTTCGGAGAGCCAAATTGTCTTAAACTTGAAACAGAGATTCGGGCCAAAGGCTTCCGCAGAGCCAAAACGTGTTCGACTTGAAACACAGATTCGGGCCAAAGGCTTTCGGAGAGCCAAATTGTCTTAAACTTGAAACAGAGATTCGGACCAAAGGCTTCCGCAGAGCCAAAACGTGTTAAACTTGAAACACAGATTCGAGCCAAAGGCTTCCGGAGAGCCAAAACGTGTTAAACTTGAAACAGAGATTCGGGCCAAAGGCTTCCGCAGAGCCAAAACGTGTTCGACTTGAAACACAGATTCGGGCCAAAGGCTTCCGGAGAGCCAAAACGTGTTAAACTTGAAACAGAGATTCGGGCCAAAGGCTTCCGGAGAGCCAAAACGTGTTCGACTTGAAACACAGATTCGGGCCAAAGGCTTCCGCAGAGCCAAAACGTGTTCGACTTGAAACACAGATTCGGGCCAAAGGCTTCCGCAGAGCCAAAACGTGTTCGACTTGAAACACAGATTCGGGCCAAAGGCTTCCGGAGAGCCAAAACGTGTTAAACTTGAAACAGAGATTCGGGCCAAAGGCTTCCGCAGAGCCAAAACGTGTTCGACTTGAAACACAGATTCGGGCCAAAGGCTTCCGGAGAGCCAAATTGTGTTAAACTTGAAACAGAGATTCGGGCCAAAGGCTTCCGCAGAGCCAAAACGTGTTCGACTTGAAACAGAGATTCGGGCCAAAGGCTTCCGCAGAGCCAAAACGTGTTCGACTTGAAACACAGATTCGGGCCAAAGGCTTCCGGAGAGCCAAATTGTGTTAAACTTGAAACAGAGTCGGGCCAAAGGCTTCCGGAGAGCCAAATTGTGTTAAACTTGAAACAGAGATTCGGGCCAAAGGCTTCCGGAGAGCCAAAACGTGTTCGACTTGAAACACAGATTCGGGCCAAAGGCTTCCGGACAGCCAAATTGTGTTAAATTTGGGCCCGGTTTTCCGCGTTTGTACTTCCAGCCTCCGAACCCTGGGGCCACTGCCCCTCAAGGATTTTGGTTGCAACTCAGTACCTGTGATATCGAACCCTTCGCCTGAAGTAGCGTGCTTTGTGATGCGATGGGGGGAAGATGGTGTAGCCCGCAATCTGCGAGCGATTTCACTGACTCACTCACTGACTCACTGACTCACTCACTTAAGCGCTACGATTGCTTATGCCCCGTCAACAGGCCCAAGCGGATCCAAGGCTTCGACTATCATTGCCGGCGTTCGTGCTGACATCACTGCCCTGGGCTCATGGAAGGAGGGTGAAGGATGACATCTTGCAACAACATTACCATGTGCAGCAAATCCCGGTTGCCGCAGCTCGGCACTCTGCGTTGCTGTCAGTACTGCCCAACCGCATCAGACGGCTGCCTCAGCCCGAAATCAAAGCTCGGCCTCTCGCCTTTGGGCTGGGGCCGCAAAGCCTCGAGCCTAGCTGAGAGGCCTTCGTCGTCGCAATTCTGGCGGCTTCACGCATGACCTGACAAAGATCGTGGGTGCCATTCCAGGGCGAAGATGCCACCCCACACACACACACACACACACACACACACACACACACACACACACACACACACACACACACACACACACACACACACACACACACACACACACACACACACACACACACACACACACACACACACACACACACACACACAAACCCCGCAGCAAATCGAAGCGCTCTGCTGCTTAAGTTGCGCCTCTGGTGGGCAGGCTGGTATGGGACCCCATCGAGCCTCACACACCTGTCAGAGCTGAAGCTTGCACAGTTGCAAAGGCTGATCGCGCCGGCCTGTCCCAGCACAGGAGCCTCAAAAGCAGGAACCAGGGAGCTGATCTTGAATTCTTTCAACCGGACTCAGATCCGGGCTCGGCTCCGCCTCCATGGCCTCGAAACACTACAAGGGGGGGGCCAAAGCGGGTCGGGGTCCGGGGGGGCTGAGCGGTATTGTGCAGTATCGAGGCAACCCACGTCAGATCCAGTCCGCCATCAGCTGAGCGCAGGCACCCCCAGAAGTGGCGCTCAAGCCTTTTGGGCACAAGGACAAGTTCAGGAAGCATCGTTCAGCACAAGAAAAATCTCTCCCACGAAACAGACCCCCTCCAACTCCCCAGACACCCCGAGGGGTTAGAGTCGCTTGTGGAGGTGTGTGTGCTTCGTGCCACTTCTCGGCTCAGGGCTCTCGCAGACGGTCCAGACTCGTCCTCATTGGCAGGGTCTTTCGCTCTCAAAAGAGCAGTGCCCGCACCAGAAATGAGTATAGCCGAATGGAGACTCACAGCGAGGCGCAGAGAGTTGCTGCGCGAAGCTTTCCCTCCATAATTCGCTGTCCGCTGATGCTCATCAGGTCTGAATTTGAGGTGAAGCTTTCTGTCTAAACTCAAATACTCTCCATTGGCTAGTGGTCAGCAAAGCTTACCTCCACTCTGACGTCTGCTGCAGTCAGCTTCTAGGCTCTGCAGGCTCACACCTATCGTCAAGGACAGGCTCAGCTGGTTTCCAGCTAGCTGCTCAACTTAATTAAGACCGTCTGTTTACCGATCATCAGGCGCATTGCACACTGCAGGGCCCTCATGGTAACAAGAGCAGTCTTTGCTGTCCGGCAAGTGGCACATGCAATCAACTCTCATGCCGGTGCCACAGCTGTCCCAGTAGCTCAAAAATCAGGTTTGAAACGGTTTGGGGCTCCAGCATTGCAATGTTATTCATTTCTCCAGGCCAGTGCAGGATACTCCGCAGTTGCAACATGTTGTACCTTTGCAGCTCTGCAACCGTCTGAAACCAACTATGTAGCAAGGCACACCCTGAAGAAGAACCTTTGCATGAAATTGCACGTCCGGAACAAGGCCAGAAATCTCCAGCCATGCAAGCTCCGTTCGCCTCGTTGCTGCCAAGCATCACTGCCCCTCCCGCCCCGTCTCCACAGTACGAACAGTGTGGTTCAGTCCACGCTGATGACCTCTCTTCCACAGCAAAAACGACATGCACTCACAAAGGGCCCTAGCCTCAAGTGCGCGGCCGATGCTGAACAGGCTGAACAACTACATGCTGGATGCTCCATTGACAGCAGAGCGACTCGATCTTTCCGTCTCTCACGCATTTGCTTTCGCTTTTCCTCCTCTTCCTCGGCTTTCTTCTTCGCAACCTCCTGCGACGGAACCAAACTGAAATCAAGGGTGGAGGGACTGTAACTGCCTTCTCTTTCCTTGTGGCTGCAAGCCCTAGGGCCCTAGGACAGCCTCCTTTGACAAGCCCGAGTACTTCTTCTTTATCTTCACCACTTTCTTTTTGGGCGCCGCTTTGGTTGCCTCGGTCTGCACTCTCGCGGTCCGATTGGAGCGTCCCGCCATGTTTCGTTTTCGTCTTTGGTGGCCCCCTACGGCAATCGACTGCAGTTGCAAAGCAGCCTCCCCAGTCTTCTGTTTCTTCTTCGCCTGCTATCAGGCAGCATGCATCACGCATGACCCTGTTCATCACTGTCTGCATGAGGGGTGGCCATGCAGTACCATTGATCCGATTCGCTCATTACTACGTCATGTAGCGGGATGTGCTTGTCCGAAGTTCAGGCCAGCATCTTATGGCATCATGCTACTACGCTTGCAAAACGGTAGAGAATTATAGCCACTCAAGCACGAACAGCGCAAGGTCTTCATGGTCCTTGGCCTTGCCAGAGCCAGAGGAGCTGGAGGAAGAGCTCTTCTTTTCTTCAGGTGGTGAGGCACCTGTCAGCCAGGCCTCATGTCAGCCATCGCCAATCGCCAGTTACTGCAACATTTCGGATTGAGAGCTCAGAAGAGTTCTGAGATTCAGTGAACTGGCCAATCACGGCCGGATATTCCGCACTCTCCGACATATTATCTCAACCATGTACTACTTTGCAGAAGAGGTTCCGGCAAGTTCGTCTCACCAACGAACATGCCTCACCCAGGCGCTTAGGCGCTTGGAATCCACGCACAAGAAAATCCATCGGAGTCAAACTTTGGCTGAGTTGCCATTCACAGGTCCTGCTCCCCACTGCCGCGCCCAGGGAGATGTGGCATCCGTCTTCAGCTCTGCAGTGGGTGGCACGTAGCCCTTCACGCTGGCTTTTACACCTCTGCTTGCAGCAGGCTTGTGACGGCTTGTGCATCTGCTCCCTTCAGGCATCGTGCCAGCTGAGCACGACAAAAATCACGGTGTACGCCCCCCTCCCCCCCAAGACAACTCCAAACCTCGGGAGCACCTGGGATAGCACCCACCGCCGCAGCTGCGAGAAGGTTGTACTCCTCGACGCTCTCAGGCTTGGGGCAGTTGCACCTCCAGCTGTGAAGACTTGCGCAGCACGCACCACATGACTGTTTTGAGTGGAGTTGCAGGTGGTGCCCTACCATTCCCCACCGTTCTGAATCAAGACTCCTTTCCAGGAACGCGAACCCTATCGTGCATTCGGCAAGTACACATTGACCCGCTAGGGGGTTCAATGTGCGCAAAGCCATGAGGCCCCGCCTGCCACAGACGGGATTTCTGGCGAAGCACACAGCTCTACATTTTGGACAGCTCCAGTCTCCTGGCTGTCCTCCCAAAGCATCTCTCATAATTTCAAGGGATCAGATGACTCAGGTCTGTGACGAAAGGTTTGGCTCGTGCCACGTGTCCTGTGGGCGACTCGAGTGGATTCTGCTGCCCTGCATTTGGCAGGGGAGTTCCATATGAGCCCGCGACCGGTCGCTGCGCGCCACAGTCACGGCAGGAGATGTTGCCTCAGTTGTTTCACAGTGCTCTCTGCTCAACGACATGTTCAAACTCGAGAGCGCAGGGATCCGCAGGATCTCACAAGGCCCCCCCACGTTCTCCTCCACAAGCCGAGCGGCGGGCGAACTGCACCCTCTTGCAGAACTGGCAGGGCCAGTCTCCTGGGTTGCGGGCGCCTGGGCCGGCCAGCGCCAGGGTCGTCACATTCGCCGCCATGTCGACTGCACCGGCTAAGGCTGGTGATGGTCTCTACAACCTTTCTACGAGGGTGAGGGTTAATGGTAGGCTTACGGTCTATAAGGCAGGCAGATGCTCAAGGTCGTCTGAGAGGGTGCGGGCTGTATGTGAGATGCGGGATGCACGTGATGAGAAGCGCAAGCGACGCAGGGCATCGCTTGGCCACCATGGGCTCCTGTACGCTGGAATCGGGCAGCACAGCTTTAATGGGTCGACTTGAACCTTGGGCAGAATGCCGGAGCCAACGACCCACCAACATGTTCTGTTCAGCGCCGCAATCCCATGCAGAGGATGCCCAGGCTCGTGACGGCAAGAGCGCCAAGCTTTCCGATGTTGGCGGCTCCGGTCCTCGTGTCAGGGATGCTTTGGAGCTTCTACAAGCTACAGGCTGAATTACGTCTTCTCTATGAATCATCGTAACTGCGCATGCAACCATAGTTCTTGACTACACTGCAAACTCTGGATCCTTCGGGACTATACGGTGATGCTTTGATCTCTGCGAGGCTGCGAGGCCCAGGCGCAAAGTCGCAATCAGCTCTGCAGTGTGGTGCCTCCGCCTCCCCCAACCCTCATCCCACAGGAAGTTCAAGATTCCTTGCAAAGAGCGGGTTTAGGGCTGGGGGTACACTGAGGCCGGTGCAACTCGTATCTTCCCCAACCTGATCTGACCGTGGTGCTTCTGAAGCAAAGCTTGAGGATGCCAAGGCACCCACCCACACAACACAGTCGCCCTCCTCGAAATTCTCCCAAGGCCTCGTGGCTTACTCATTGTTAACAACATGTGAGGCATGACCGGCAGATCTCAATTGAACCCCATCTCCAGTCGGCTCGCCATCTTTTGCCAGGCTGGCGCTGACTTCGCCGTAGGCCTGGGTTCAGTTTCATTCAGCTTCTAAGTCGGATCCTGGTGCACGCGCCCTGCCTGAGATCTCGGGACACATCCGGCATTTCCCGGATTTCGAGTTGCAGCAGGATCACGCTGAGCGGCCAGCCGCACCCGCAAAAGCATGATTCTTGGAGGGCCCTGCAATTGGCCATTGGCGTTGACGACAGATCATTGATCGCGTCTCAACTCTCACCCCGCATCATCACCCGTCTGCTCTGAGGGCCACGCCCAGCACCCAGGCATCGTCACCTCGGCAACACCAAAACACACCAAACCGCGAAAACACGAAAACACAAAACCCAGTAGGTTGAATGCGGTTGAATGCGGCTGACGCATGCCGCCATGTCCACAAGGGGCCCGCGCCCGCATCACAAGCACCAGGGGGCGACCCAGGGCTGCCCCGCGAACCTCACCGGATGTGACTTGATTAGATTCTCAATGATAGAGTCCCAAAGTGAAAAATCTAAATTATAGAGTCTCAATTAAACTCTAGATTACATTGAAAAATATAGAGTCTCAAGTAACATCTAGATTAGATTACTGTCTCGTCCAAGCCAGCGGCCCAAGATGCCAGGAGGCCGCGCTCTACGCAGGAGGCACGGTCCTGTGTGTGCACAAGCACCATGCGTTCGAGCGCTTCAGCGCGTGGAAACATGCGCTGGTCAGCAACCCGGCGCTGGCCTCCAGCGCACGCTGGCTCAGAAGCAAGTCTCCTCCATTTACACCAACAGAGACGCCTTAAGCTGCACCTCCAAAGATCCTTTAATAATTTAAGTGACTCATGCGTGTCAAGAGCCTTGGGAAGGCCAACGGGCCAGCGCGTGCCTGGTGTTCGTGCTGAGAGCAGGGCGCGTGATGGCGCGTGATGGCGCGTGATGGCACGTGATGGCGCGTGATTGTGCGGCCTTTCTTTCCGGTCTTCTTCCAGGTCTTCCGTCCGGGGCATGCCAAGGATGCTGCACCTCCAGGGGCGTGGACTCGCATCCCGGGCAGTGAGCCAACTTCCACTGAAACCATGCAAAAAAAACAACACAAAACGGCAGCGTAGCATAAACTTTCAGCCGGCTTTCTCGCAGGCCTTGCTTGCAGAAAATCTGCGGAGGCCCTGACAAGCCAAACTGGCGAGCCAAAACGGCTTTCCAAATGCCATGGATGCGTCCCTGAATCCTAAAAATTGGTGCTCAAGACTTTTGGGTGTCGTACACCACAAGAATGTCGAGCAGAAAACGAACATGGCCGTTTGACATCAAGGTGGAAAATTGGGCCGTGTGTTTAGTGGCAATCATGGTTTGCTGTGTGCTCTCCCTCTTGCTTATCATCCTCAGTACCAATCTTTCGCTATTGTCACGATCACGAACATGACGATCACCCACAGCACGGTTCTGTTTCGCAGGGCTTGCAGGTAATAGAGTAATAGAGGCCTCGCATGCGACCTAGGTTTGTCAGACACCGCGAGACCGTGGGAGGAGCCGCAAACTATCTCCCCCTCAAGAAGTATGTCATGTGTGTGGGCCTCTGCCCCCCCCCCCCCACTGTCAGTGTACCAACCTGTGCATTAGCCTTGTCGCACTTCGCCAACGTCCGCCTTAACTATCGGCTCTAACTGGTTCACTCCCTGTAGGGCCCTTGAGCTGTTACCTGTATGGAAACGGCCGCGGACGTTACCTGTATTGAAACGGCCGCGGACCAACTGTTTTGACATTGGTAGCGGAGTTGCGCGCGATCGGGCCTGCTGAGCCCAAGACCCGCAGCGTCCGCTGAGGAGTAGGGCTGCGCAGCTGCGCATTCCGGGTTCCTGCCGCGCTGGCCCGAAGACTTGGCTGTGCGAGGGGCACCGTGTGGCTGCAGTCACTCTGCTTGGCAAGGCCATTTTGAGTTTCTCCAACCCCGGACGTGCCACCCCGCCTGTTTCCAGGACCCGATGATCCGAGTCGCGGACGTCAGGAAGGCGCGCAAGGGGCTTGGACTTCCGAGGGAGCTATAAGGTTGTGCCACAGGTTAGCCCATATTTAAGGTTGTGGTTTGCATATCCATCTTCAGTCGCATATCTTGGCACATAGGACCGCTGTTGCTCAATGCCCTGTGTTTTTTCGACCCCCGAGGTTGGTTCTGTTGACCTCCAAGGTTGTTTTTGTTGACCCTTAAAAGGTTGTTTTGTTGACCAACGAGGTTGCTTTCCCCCCTCGCCTCTTGTTTTCTCGGCCCCCTTTTTCGGATTCTGATCATTTGCAAAGCCGGACTCGCGACGTCTGCTCTGGGCCAAGCCTGGATCATTGTGGTGGTGGGCAATGGTGGGAAATCGTGGGAATGGCGTGTTATGGTGGGAATGGTGGGTAATGGTGGGCGATGGCGCGTAGTTTGGCTGATGATGGGCAACGGTGGGAATGGTGGGTAACGGTTGGTCATGGTGGGCAATGGTCGGTCATCGGTAATGGTGGGAATGGTGGGCGCTCGGGCGGGTTGCGCTGGGAATGGTGCGTAAATGGCGCGTAAGGGGGAAAGTAAATGGTGGGGAAAATCGTCGGTAATGCTGGGGAGAAGGGGTGTTGGTCGTGGTGCGTGAAGGTGGGAAATCAATGGTGGGCATGGTGGGAAGGGGTTGGTGATGGTGGCAAGGGCGGGTAGTGGGTAGTGGTGCTGCAGCGAACCTCCAATTACGAAAGAACATGGCATCAACGCAAGCACCACAGCGGTATACGAGACTGTGCCGACAAGACAGTATTTCAGGCTGAACGCGGCGACTACGAAGTGCTCCCGGCGTTATATAGTCATAGTCACGCGTAGTCTTACGGCGAGTCTTGACAGCCGCCGCCTCACAACCGAAAACCCAACAGTTTAACGTGATCGAAGGAGCCTGTGACTGCTTTTTTCGGCCTACCCTCTGAAAGAAAAAGCTCCTGCAGTCCGGCTTCACCGGTGCGCTGGTGCCAGGGTGTACCGTCTAGGCCGGGCCTGCTCTCAAAAATCAGCAGCCTGCAGCAAGCGGCATTTGCTGTCAAGCAGCTTCAAGACGGATCTCTGCCGGAAACTCTAGACTCCAGACTCCAGACATGCAGCGAGGCCTACCTACGCTCACGTGCAGATGGCACGATTCTTCGCCTTCCAGAACAGGTACAGTGCGGACACGGCGAGCAACGCCGACACGATGAAAAAGGCAACCGAGGCCACGATCCTCCCAACCGGGCGGGGAGGGAGGGAGTAAACGAAACCCATGTCGGAAGTGATATAAATAGCAACGAATGCAACCAGCATCCCAGCTGCTGGCAACAACACCGCAAGGCTGAGCAGAAAATCGGTCAGGCAATGCGGTTGCCTCATGCGGAGTTTGTAGGCCAAAGCCGCGCCAAGCAAAACGAGGCAAGGTATCGCCATTAGCCACCATGACAGCGCGTCAACCACAATACACAATCCAGAGCTTACATCATCGGCCACGAGGAGGGTGGCCACTCGATCCAAGAACAGCCACATCACAGGACTAGAGGCCATGACGATTTGCCGGTACAGATAAAAAGGGCTGGTGAGCTCTCGAAGCAGTGTTGTCCTGACATGTCCCCGCACCAAGTGCTCGAAGTCAGTCGCGCTTCCAAACCAGATTCCGATGCATTTCATCATGATGTCACGGTCGCAAGGAATGCGCTCGCCGGTCTTATCGTCCACGTGGTTCACGGTGCAGCAATAGCACTTCGCATCGTTGACTTGGAACTTGCCGAGTTGCTGCTGTAGGGTGTCCAGGCTGCAACAGAAGCGGCGGCCAACGTAGACAAGACAAAGGAAACACGGCAGGAGGCCTGCCGATATCGTCAATCCCATGATCGCACCGAGCAGGATCGCATCGCTGCTCGCAAACACTTGCAACAAGTTCGGCCATGCAACAAGTAACACGATCAGGCCGGCCTTTCCGATCAGCAAAACCGGTCCCATGAGGTTTGGTCGAATACTCAGATGCTGGCTTATCGTAGCTTCTTTCGGTCGGCTGCGAAGAAACGATGCTAGCTCGAACACGCACCAGAATCTCCTTGGCTGGTTTGGTATTGGTATTGGTATTGCTTCGACGTCAACCTGCTGCGCAAAGGGTAGTTAAGACGCCTCACGGGCGGCCTCAGTATTACCAACAAAGTAGAAACCCAAAACAGTCAACATCCCATCGCCCAACCCGAAGAGTGCCAAGTCTCTGTACCCAACTCGGGTCCCACAACACAAGCATTGATGCTGAGCTCTTCAAGATTGCGCCGATGCTGAGCATAGCCTCGCTCTTCAAGCCTTCGTCCTCTTGGTTTATGCAGAGAACATCCAAGAACACAAGCTTCCTCACCGGCCAGAACATGAAGGACAAACAGTAGAAGGTCACCCCAAGCAAAACACTCCACTGCGACTTGCAGAAACCGTTGTCAACGGTGGCAGGCAAAACCCCCACGGCGTGTAGGACGCAGCCCAGGGCGGCACCCACCATACCGAAGGCAGCCGCGATGACACCACAGTTCAAATACCACGCCGTGACAAACTTCATCCAAGCAGATGTGTGCCAGCTGTGGGACCAAAACTCGTCGATGTCTGCTGTGGCACAGCTGAATTTGTACAGTCCACGCTGCTTCCCACGCATCGCCTGCCCACATCCCCGCAAAGCGCAGTGCACAGGGACGCCTCGAATGATTTCTGGCCTGGTGGGCTCCATGCTGGCTACCATGTGCACGATCCAGTCGTCGCCGGGCGCATCAGGCAGAACTTCTTGCTCATAGTCAGACAAATCGACAACTTGCCCGAGAGTTTGCGGGGCAAGCTCAGGCGATACTGCCATGGCACATGCGCGAGACTAGGAGATTGATTGAAGCGAACGCGTGAGTCACTAAGTCCCCACCTCATGCCCTGAACTCCACACTCGGATCGATGATCAAATTGCGGTCAAAGCCTGAATGCTTTGATCTCTGAACCCTTATCTAGCCACCCAAGACCCCTAAATGAGCCGGGAACAAAGGCTACGATGTGGAAATGGTCGCTGGGGCCGGGAGCTGACTGATGGATACTCTCTCGGTCACCATGGCCAGTGTGGCGCACCAAGTACAACAGGAATGATAAATGCATGTTCAAAGTTCAAACGCTCCAAGGGATTACGGCATACGCCTCTTCCTGGCAGGAAGGGTTATAGGCTAACCTCGGAAAGACAATAACACCAAGCTGCGTGCAGGAGCTGAACTTTGAGATTCTCTGGAAGTCATGGGCGCGGACATTTCTGTCATTCCAGCGGAAACGTTGGTCTCTTCGCACTCGAAA